CCCTAACTAACACACAGAATTGACATGCCACTGTGGTATCATTATAGTATTTCCATCTCTTATGTAATTTAAGAGTCTCAAGTTATTATTTGTCATCAAAGACAGTCCTCAGAGTATAAAGTCCTTCCTCTATAAGCTAAAAATCTCACATGTCTCCATTCCACATGTCCATACAGGAAGCATACTGGAAATATATGAGGTTCCCGCAGGAAGAAAAGTGTGGAGAGAGCTTTAGTCCATTCAGACATGTAATGTGGTATATTTTTAGCCCAGAGTGTGACACAACCTCTCTGTAAAGTAAAAAAATGCATGCTCTGATTTTAGAAAGTGTGCTTTGAATTGAAACAGTCTGTTTGGATTCCCTCTTGTGTACACGGTCACAGGCGAGTGAAGGTGGGTTGTATATTTATCTGATTGCTTATTTATGCAGGTCGTCTTGCTGTAAAGTTGAATGGATTTGTGATTTATTGTTTCTGTATGTCTTGTCTCTGTAATTCTGTTTATCAGCGTGTCCATAATGATTGTCTTCTGTTTCTCTCATGTCATACAAAGTTCAGTGCATATTCATAGCAGTTATATCGCTAACACCACATTGCTGAGTGATGAGGGACAGATTGCTGTCTGAAATTTAATATACCTATAGTGACAGGTCACACCATGGCAGAAATGTGCTGCGTTTCCTCTGTGAAAAGGCGCTGGATATAGACCTGCATTCAGTTATAGCAGGCCCTGTTTTGGAAGTGTTCAGGCATGCTGGGAGTTCGTATTATGTTATGCTGTAGCTTTAACATGGCTATAGGGCATTGCAGCATTACGTAACCTGGCTCTTCATTTTCTCATGAGTCAGTGCTGTGAGGAACAAGCGTTTTAGTGTTGGTTTGTTGCAATGATCAAAGTCTCTATTATCTTGAGTAGTTTTTAAGAATTCATTTTTATGAATGAGTCCAGGTTCTTCACCAAGCTGTACTAGAAGTTATAAATATGGTGATAGATAAATATTTGATGGGAAACATTCAGAGTTTGGTCATTATTTTATTTTATTTCGTTTTTTAGAATCATAAATTACTTATTGATTCATCTTTAGGCTAGTGCCAAAAATGCTGCAATATCCGCCACAAAATAATCTCCATAGAATTAAACCCCATGTTTCAGAATATTTGGATGGTTGTCATTATTTTATTTTATTTCGTTTTTTAGAATCATAAATTACTTATTGATTCATCTTTAGGCTAGTGCCAAAAAATGCTGCAATATCCGCCACAAAATAATCTCCATAGAATTAAACCCCATGTTTCAGAATATTTGGATGGTTGTAGTTCTATGCACATGGTCATGCTTTCCTTCTCGGCTTGTGGCCAGTCCTGAATAAAATCCACAGAATTCCATAAAAATCTCTGCAGACTTCATGATTTTAACTGCTGTTGTTTTCGAAGTTCTACACATCCCTGCTCCATTTTCATTTTATTTTATTTTATTATTTTCAGAAATCATAAATGACTTGTTGCTTCATCGTTAGGCTAGTGCCAAAAAAAGTTGCATCTCTGCATCTTATATTTGTTTTTAAATTCAGTATTTTTTTGATAATCAGTTTAATTGAAATCCATTCCATATAATTCTTTGTCCTCCACCATCAGCACAGAAAAAGTATGCAGATTCTGTATGGCTCTGATGGCTGATCAAGAGGTGTGTGTGTATAGTGAAACCAGCTTCTTTCCCATGCTCTTGAGGAGTCAGTCTCCTCAGTTGTAACTACATGAGGGTTTTAAACAGGTTAGTTTGCACCGACACATAACACAGCTGGGTTCACATGATATTCAGTGTAACCCAAGCTTTGCCGCTGAGGTTCTCTGATATCATACACATGCCAAGGTTCTCGGCTTTCAGGGGCTAACAGAATTAAAGCCGCATGAGGACAACCAGCAAAAGAACAAAAAATCTATATTTGTCCTATGAGGGTCAATTTCTGCATACCCTGCAATAAAAAAAACAGTTTTTCTTTCCTTAATTCAGCAACCTTTGTTAAATTAGCTGTACTTTGAACGTCAATGTATTTCAGTGTCATATTTGTTTACCCGACTGCTGCCTTGCAAAAAAGTTCAACCCTTTGAAGCATTAGTGTCGTGTCATAGAGTAATAAAGAGAGGAAACGGGTAACCAGATCCATCTGCCTCAGCGGTGCATTCACACGCCTTTCCAGTATTCAAAGCCAATGCGACAGCTGACATGTGTACAGCAATTTACAGGACAAAATACTTCATGACTTTAAAAAACATGAAGTCTTTGTACACTTCATATGGTAATAGGCCTATCTGCATTGCTTTAGAATCACCTGGCGGTGATAACTGGTTTATAAATGTTAGTCAAAACCACAATCATATTTTGTGCATGTTTTGCGCAGCTTGTCAGTGAACAACGGCTCTGTGTAGTAAATGCTGCTCCACGTGAAAGCCAGCACGTGATTAAGATTTACCGCTGATTACAGAACCGGCTTTACTGACAAGATGCGCGTTAAATATCGCATGCGATTAATCGTGCAGCCCTAATTGCTATCCAGTCAATCTAACAGGCTAATATTTACAGCAACGAAATCTTGTTATTACTATTATTATTAGTAGTAGTATTGCTATTAAGTATATAATTTAACATGTTACACAATAAAACAAAGACTTCATTTAAACTAGTATTATATTATACATTTTGTCATTAATAAATGTATGTGTATTACGCTTACACTGCAAGGGCTTTTTAATTGTAATTATTTGTATTGCAATCAGTTGTCAGCTAAAATTTCATTGTTATAACAGCCCTACATGTAAGGCAGATATCATTATATCACGTCTTGTGGCTTTGTGACACTACTGAGGCTTTTAGTGGCTGGCTGCTGTGTTGAGCCGATTGCTGGCGCAGCAGTTTCAGAGCGGTGAGGTTAGGAGCGTGTTTTCACAGCACACTAAAGCTGGAACCGAGTGAAAGGGCCCTCACACTAACCCTTCACCTACCTTCCCTTTCACTGGCTTTCTGTGAAGTGGAGATTTCCTTCATCTAGACCACACCTTAGCAGTGTGTGTGAGTCTGAATTCGTTTAATGGGAGTGTGTGTGTGTGTGTGTACATGTCCTTGGCCTTGACAAACTGCTAATTTGTGATATTTTAGATGTTCTATTTCAGTGGCTGACAGTTAACTGTGGCCACTTTCAGTTGTCCGATTGAAAAACAGTCTAAATGTGATTCTTTTGATGGGTCTGTTTTATGTATTCAAAATGTTTTTTTGATTACTCTGCATTCTTTTTTCTCTCCACGTGTTTAGAATGTCTTGCTTTAAAAATATTATTTCGGAGAGGTCTCCTGCAAACTGTTGCCGAAATGTTTGGTCATCAGCATTTCTGGGCTTTTTTCCCCTTTGTTGGCCAATGTCAATGAGATCTGGTCTTTGTCAGCCTGTATCAAAGAATGCAACATTCTGAGAGACTCATTTGTGAGACTCTTTCTCACCATTTAAATGCAAAGTAGACTGTGGTTGGTTGCTTTACATGTCAGGAGGTCTTTTCCTTTTTGAATGGTCAGTTCTTGACCAAAATAAGCTCTAAAGAGGAACAGGCTGACAAAGGTTTGGCGACGCAAGACTATTTCACACCTGATTAGGACTTGGTGTCAGCAATAGTTTTTGTTATTCATGCAGCACTGTGGTTGGTTTATCATGTCTGGGGTGTCTCTTTCACAGTAGAATGCATGAACTTCCAATATTACAGCATTTCCTGTTTGGGTTTCTGTGCGTTCATCAGACTTTCTGTGGTCACTGACTCCGAGATAAGGGCATGGGGCATTCTCAGCTCTTTCTGATGCCAAGTCTTTATTAAAGCTTCTAGGTCCTTTAGGCTATGTGAAATTTTCCAGACAAAGTTTTGGCAGCCCACTATGTGTTGATGAAACGTGTTAACTTTTAATGGCAATGGCAGTTTTATTTATATAGCACTATTTAGTACAACCAGAGTTGACCAATGTGCTTTACAATAGAATAACTAAAAACTGCAATAACACAATGAAAAGTAAAAAGCAGTAAAACCAAGAGGAAGGGGGGAAAAAACATCATAACATGCAACAAAAACATAGGACAAGGATAAAGCGTGCTAAACCAGAATTTATTAATCAGAACAATTAATCTGTGCAAAGTTAATCGACAAAAAAAAATTAAAAATGTTTGTCTTGGTAGTCTTTAATCAAAATCTGAACATTTGCTTCCCCTCTGAAATGGCATTCCTTCTGTGATGTCAGTTTGATGAACATATATCCTTAACCACATCCCTCCAACCTTTAGGTTGCTGTGAGTGTGAGATGGAGACGAGGAGCACAAAAATAAAACCCTGCCCTCGATTCAATATTCCGTTTCAGTTGAAAATACGTCACTATACTGAATTAAGTAGGCAGCAACTTAATCCTGTAGCAATGCTTGTTTTATTCTGAGAGTTTAATTAAAATGGGGTAATTTATCACAGACTAGTCTTGGCTTTTGTTCCTACCTCCCTGTTTAGATCCATAAAACTGAAATTAAAGTTGGTCTGATTAGTTTTTTCCTCTGATATCGTTTTCTGCAAATTATAGGATAGTGAGGTATGCTTGTTTAAATAGTTTGTTTCTGAAACTAAACCAGGAAGCTTCCATATCTCTCCTTTCTGTTAAAGCCATGCTTTGTGGAAATGTTATTTAAATGTTATCATCTCTTTATCATTGAAGAAAATCTAATAAAAAGGCCTAGATGCTATCTGCTGATTTTCATCGCATTTTCTGCACTTATTTTTAGGCAAAGTTGTCTGAAATGGTTTAAAAAAAAAAGTGATGTGCTCTCATTGATAATTAATAATAACACTTTTTCAAAATAAGCCAAAATATTGAATAAACAATTATTTTTTACTTCTGCATAGTTTTGTGCATTTCCACATGTGCCACAGTGATGTACTGTATATATAAAATATTTGATACATCTTTTTTTCTTTCTTCATTCAGGGTGAAAATGACCTATGGCAGAAGTTGAATCGCAAACAGAGAGACTCTGAGTAAGCTGGACGGGGCCTGTCCCATAATCCGCGCTCGTCGGGTCAAGGGACCATGGGAGATGGAGGCGTCAATGCGGTGGGAGAAGGGGTGAATCAGTCCCATATGCTCTTTGACCGCTTCGTCCAGGCCACCACCTGCAAAGGCACTCTCAAGGCTTTTCAAGAGCTTTGTGACTTCCTGGAACTCAAGCCCAATGAATACCGTGTGTTCTACCACAAACTCAAGTCCAAGCTCAACTACTGGAAAGCCAAAGCTCTCTGGGCCAAGTTAGACAAGCGCGCCAGCCACAAAGAATACAAAAAAGGAAGGGCCTGTGCCAACACCAAAGTATGAAAGTTTCCCTGGGGTGAAAGAGAGTGGTTTGGTTATTAGTTCTCAAACTTGTAATGTTCTGGTATTGCTTAAAATAGATTCTTTATGGACTTTGTGGCTTGATTATTAGGTTTTTACTCCTTATGAATTGTTTCTCAGTGTCTGATCATTGGAGCTGGACCATGTGGTTTGCGTACAGCCATAGAGCTGGGCTTCCTTGGAGCCAAGGTGGTTTTGTTGGAGAAGAGGGATGCATTCTCCCGAAACAATGTGCTCCATCTTTGGCCTTTCACCATTCAGGATCTGAGGGGTCTTGGAGCCAAGAAGTTCTACGGCAAGTTTTGTGCTGGAGCCATCGACCATATCAGTAAGTAGTATATCAAATGATTTTTTTCATGACAGCTAGTGGACAGCACTAAACGTAGATGGGTTAGACACATTGGAGACTTTCAACAATTACTCAAACCACCTTCCGAGGTGTTCAAGGACTCCCAGCAAGTGTAGTGTAAATACTAATGCATACTGATTCATCCCAGACGTTAAATAGCTGCCCACTCATGTAATCATTTTGGGATGTGTTGGGGAAAACCTGCCAAAACAAGGTCTTTAAACTTTGCCAGCAAGATAGAACTGGTTTGGCCAAGAAGAAAATAAATTGGACTTGTAAAAGTGATGTATCTAATCAGAGGAACTTTTCTAGAACGTCTTGTCCACGTTTTGAGTCAGATTTTAATACCATGTGTAAATGGAGTCTCAGATGTGGTTTTTGTTTTTGTAATCTCTTACTGCAGGTATTCGTCAGTTGCAGCTGATGCTCTTGAAGGTAGCTCTTCTCCTTGGCATCGAGATTCACGTCAACGTGGAGTTCAAAGGCCTCATTGAGCCACCAGAAGACCAAGAGAATGAGAGTAAGATCAGTTTCTCACGTCCTTTCCATGCTAAAGTTCAGCAGTTCCATTCATTTGTTTCCATTTCCACATAAATACCAGTCGTTCTAAAGAGCCTAGGCATATCCTGAACGGATACCAAGTCTTGCGGAGAAAGGACTTGTCTGTCAGCGCTGAACATGCTGTTGGTTTTTCCAGGAATTGGGTGGAGAGCCGAGGTCCACCCCAGAACACATCCAGTCAATGAGCTAGAGTTCGACGTCATAATTGGGGCTGATGGGAGGAGAAACACGCTGTCAGGTAAGAATATAGCACTTCATATAAAATCATAATTGAGAATGTCCTCTCTTTGAATCTTTAGTTCTTGTCTAGACAGGAACAAAAATAATTAGTGGTGCTTGCCTTGGGATTTGATCAAACCTCAGTGTGTAACTTGTCCTGCAGACTTGTAGAAAAATATTGTAGACTTGCACTAACATTCAAATGTTTGTAGGATGTTTCAAAGATTTTTAAATGGTTTTGAAAGAAATCTCTTATCCTCACCAAGGCAGAATTTATTAAAATTGTGTAATATTATTACAATTAAAATACTGTTTTCTTTTTTCTTTTCTTATTTTTGGAAATGTAATTTATTTCTGTGATGCACAGCTGAGTGTTCAGGATCCATTACTCCAGCCTTCAGTGTCACATGATCCTTCAGAAGTCATACTAATATGTGGATTTGGTGCATTAGATACATTTTCATGATTCTTTAAATAAAACGTTGAAATGCTTTTATCATATAAATATAATTTGTAACAATGTAAAATTCTTTATTGTCACTTTTACGTTTACATTTACATTTAGTAGATGCTTTTATCCAAAGCGACTTACAAATGAGGACAATAGAAGCAATCAAAACCAACAAAAGAGCAATAATAGGCAAGTGCTATGACAAGTCTCGGCTACAAAAAATAGATAAAATAAAATTAGATTAGAGAGTGCTAGTGTTTAGAGGGTCAAATAAAGATGGAAGATATGTGTTTTTATCTGTTTCTTGAAGATGGCTAAGGACTCAGCTGCTCGAAGTGAGTTGGGCAGGTCATTCCACCAGGAGGGAACATTTACTATTCCCTCCTGGCGGAATGACCTCTAGTGATCTTGTGCCTCTTTGGGATGGCACAATAATACGACCTTCACTTGCAGAACGCAAGCTTTCTGGGCACAACAGTCTGAAGTAGTGAATTTAGGTAAAGGGGTGGTTTTGTAGGCAAACATCAATGCCTTGAATTTTATGCGAGCAGCTATTGGTCAGCCAGTGCAAACTGATGTGTGAGGTGTCACTTTTGGTCAGTTTAATGTGTCCTTAGCTGCTGAATTAAAAAAAAAACTTTACTGAAAGGTGTAGTGCACATTTAAAGATGACACATGATTTTCTGGTCACTAGATATGCATAGGACGGATTTTGACTAAAACACTAACAACTAAAAACACTAACAACTGCTTAGCAGCACATTCAAAACACTCAATGTCTTCGTAACAAACTGGCAACCACCTAGTAAAATGGTGGTGGGTTTTGCACCACTCACATTTTCTTCAAATATGTAAAAAATCTAGTTTTTAGTAATTGGAAATCTCACTGATCTGTTGTTGATCTGCATAAACATTTTGGCGTTCATACTTATGAATGTGTATGCTGTCTCTCCAGGTTTCAGGAGGAAGGAGTTTAGGGGCAAATTGGCTATTGCTATCACAGCTAACTTCATTAACCGCAACACAACTGCAGAAGCAAAGGTGGAGGAGATCAGTGGAGTAGCCTTCATCTTCAACCAGAAGTTCTTCCAGGACCTTAGAGAAGCCACAGGTACAATAAGCACTCTTATTGAATATATATATGTCAGACTTTGATTTAAGAACAGCAGCTACAGCTCATAGCTAACAAAAGAACTCTTGTTATACTTTTAGAGAAGCTCTTGTGGTGCTTCTAGAAGATCCAGCAGTGTAGGAAACAAATACTTGAAGAATCTCGTATTGAAGAGCTGTCCCTGTGCTTTGTGCTGAGTTGGCAGACTTTGTTGCCATTTTCTGAGTTGTATAATCACTGTTATTCTTCTCTCTCTCTGTCCTGTTGATGGAGGGAGTGGGCGCATTATCCGCCGCACAGATGGAACTTAATTACATCTGTGAACGGATGCAAACAACTTCCTCTTTCTATATCTGTTCCCCTCTTTCCCCCCCCTTGACATGCTCTCTGTCACATCTCCACTTCAATCTCTTCCTCGCGCTCGCTCATTTAGTCTTTTTCTCTTTTGGTTTGCCTCCACAGGAATTGACCTGGAAAACATTGTCTACTATAAGGATGACACACACTACTTTGTAATGACTGCCAAAAAGCAGAGCCTGCTGGAGAAGGGTGTCATTCTACATGTGAGTGATCAAAGAGTTTGACTAGCGCAGTTTTCTAACCAATCTCCACTCTTTTATTTTCACTTATCCCTCCCTCTTTATCTCTTTCTCTTCCTGTTTGCCTTTCTCTGTCCCTTAGAATAGTACTAGCACACCTCTGCTCAAGGCAGATGATTAGAAATGCAATACAAACTTGAATTGAAAAAACAAGCATGAACAGAAGCTTGTTTTAGCTGGCCTGGTTTGTCTGTTTTAGATGGATTTTGACACTTTTCAACTGGTTAGGCAGGGAAGCCAGCTGACCAACCAGCCAAACCACACTAGCTTGATGAGGCTGGGGGAAGATCTTAAACAATCTAAAACCAGCAGAAACATCTGGTTTTAGGTGTCTTTTGGGTGTTGCATGCCAAAGTACCATAGCCAGAACCGCTAATGATTATTTACTACCATTCAAAGGTTTGAAATCCGTTACATTATTCATTTTTTGAAAGAAATTAAGTTTTATTGAGCAAGGATGCATTGCATTTATCAAGTTACTTACAGTAAAGGCATTTATAATGTTGCAAAAGATTTTTATTTTGAATAGTGTTCTATTTATCAAATAATCCTCAGAAAAATCGATCACGTTTTCCACAAAAAAACAAAAATCACGAATAATTAGTAGCACAACTGTTTTCAACATTGATGATAAGAAGAAAAGTTTCTTGAGCACAAAAAATTATTTCTGAAGGTTCTAGGTGTTTAATTCTGTCTTTAGGAGGCCATAGGAATGTAAATAATCATAACTTAGTGCGGACAGTCTCTTTCCTTTTATTCACAATGAGCTCTTCTGCTCTGTTCCCAGTACTGCCAAGTTTGTTGAATCATTAACAGGGAGCCTCAATCCCAGCCCTCTATCTCACACTCACACACAAACTCTTGCACAATACAACTGATATAATGATGCACAGTAATGATACCAATTAATGTAGCCGGACAGGTTGCGAGAGAGGGATGCTTACTTTGCATTTTTCAGGATAAATTACAGAATCCCACTGGACAAAACACTCGTGTTTAATATGCAGGATTACGCTTTAACTGTAATGGTGCTCAGAATAAAGCCATTTTAAATGAGTGTCAGCGTTGAGAGTCCTCATCTGTTTTAAAGAGCCTGACTGTTAGGAGAAACAAACATGAGTTTGACATGAATCAGAGAGGAAAAGACCTCTCAAATATCCCATTACCACACCCACAGCCACTCAGGACTGAATTATATGCCTCGTGGTGCTCTTCAGTTGCAGAAAACTTTGAGCGTAGTTTTAAAGTATCATAACCGCCTTTTAAATTTTTTTAAATAATTACATTTTCCTCAGTGCCAAAAATTTGTTTGACTATTTCTGTTAAATTCTGTCTTATCAAAAATATGCCACCAACATTAATACTGGTCATAATATATTTTATTATTTACGTAGAAAAATACAATATATATGAAATTGTAAAATAGATGTATATTTAAATTTTATTGTCAAGTCATATATATATATATATATATATATATATATATATATACAATTGGAGGCTGACTAAATACTTTTTTTCCCCACTGTATGGGCTGTCAATCGATTAAAATTTTTAATATAATTAATTACATGATGTGTCGATTAATTCATCTAATTAATCACAAATTACATTTGGCTGTGAAAATACCCCCAAAAGATTATTTAAAGCTTTTTTTTTGTGTTAAATGAGAACGTTGCAATTAGACATTACAAATAGTAGCTTTAGAAAAAAATATTTTATTTGATTCAACATAAAATGTATTACACATAATTGTTTAGGCTACAATGACCTAACATAATTAAAGCTTTTTTTTTTGTGTTAAATGAGAACGTTGCAATTAGACATTACAAATAGTAGCTTTAGAAAAAAATATTTTATTTGATTCAACATAAAATGTATTACACATAATTGTTTAGGCTACAATGACCTAACATAAACTATGAAACATAAAAGGATTCAAAGCGTTTATTGTCATATGCCCAGTGAGGAAAACAAGTTTCCCTGAGCAATGAAATTCTTACTTTGCTGTCCACAATGAATGCCAAGACTAATACAAAACTATACACACACATACACAAACTATACACACATACATACACAATGTAAGAAACATAATAATAAAAACTATGCTGCAGTAGTAGGAATATGGACTATGAAAAAATTGAAATATAGACTATGTGTATCTATATGTGCGAGTATAGAGTAGAAATATAGAATGTGAAAATAGAAATATAGACTATGACTATGACAGATGTGCAAATTGAGATGAGGCTACATGAGTAATATTAACAAATATACAATGGTAGTAATAACATTACAAATGTTCAAATGAGATGAAACAATTTGGACCGACTGTTCTCTGAGATAGATAAGTCCACTAGCTAGCTACCAGTTTAAGAGTCTAATAGCTGAGGGGAAGAAGGAGTTCCTTAATCTGGAAGTCCTGCAATTTACACTCGATTCGTTCAAATGGCTGATTAATTCAGGAATGAAGTAAATGGCTCTCTTTATGAATGGGCCTTTGAATCATTAATTCACCCGATTCGTTCAAAACGAGGATTCATTCAGAAACTAACCGCTTTGTTGCTCGGAGACGTACAACAATTCTGCTGTGGCTTTAGGTAATATTTTTGTTGGCAAAACTGAGCAAAAACAGACAATATTGTGTTTAAAACATAAAATATTAACTTCTTATTTACTGAACTGTTGTATAAAATCACATTTGCACTCGTGCTGTCGTGCTGTAATATCGTCTGATATTACTCTAGCTGCTGGTGTGATATCGCTTATCGTATGATATAAATATGAGACAAAAACTCATACAGGGGCATTTTTTGCACCAATATCTTGAATTTTAGGGCATAACTGCATTTATTGTGTTGTTGCCCTGCATCATATTTGTATATGTAAGATGACGAACAGGTCTGGGGGCGTTAACTGCGTTAAAATATTTTAATCGCGTTATTTTTTTCATAACTAATTAACGCATTAAACTGACAGCCCTAAGATATGTGTGTGTGTTTGTGTATATATATATATATATATATATATAGTGTATATATACACGATGTAAAATACAGTATATACAAAATTGTAGAAAATATATTTTCAATAAATATTTTTAATTATTTAAAATTATATTAAAAATGTTATTTATTTAAAATTTAAACTCAAGAAAGAAAATTATAATTGCTTGATTGATTCATCATGAGTTTTTTTTATTGCTTTTATACCTGTCTTATTTATCTTTGTTTTTTTTCGCTCTTGTACAGGACTATGCCGACACAGAAATGCTGCTCTCCAGGGCCAATGTTGACCAGAAGGCTCTGCTGTCCTATGCCAGAGAAGCAGCAGATTTCTCTACCAATCATCAGCTTCCTAAGCTGGACTTTGCCATCAACCATTACGGCCAGCCTGACGTCGCCATGTTTGACTTCACCTGTATGTACGCCTCAGAGAACGCAGCGCTCGTCCGCCAGCGCAACGCCCATAAGCTACTAGTAACCCTGGTGGGGGACAGCCTTCTAGAGGTGAGTGGAACTAAGGAGGGAAATAAGACTGTTCATGAAAGGGAGTTTGTTATTTGTTAAAACTTCCTTTAATAGAACCAGATGGTGTTTTTCCATGAAATACCACAAAATTGGCTTTTGCTGTTCTCCAACATCTTCCTTCGACAAATTTCAACTTCTGAAAATACATTTTCTCACATAAATCTGAAACCACCACTTCAGAAGCTGTGGTAATGAAATTATTAAGTTAAAACACCACACTCTTTTACACTACCTAGCCCGCAACTGTGAGGGCAGTTTTTCCATCTTCTTCCAAACAGAAGGTAACTGATTTCTAATATGAAGTGTACAGGAACAAGTTGACTGATGAATATGTCGTGTGTGTGTGTGTGTGTGTGTGTGTGTATAGCCATTCTGGCCGATGGGCACTGGAATAGCAAGAGGCTTCTTGGCAGCCATGGATGCAGCGTGGATGGTGCGGAGTTGGGCTCATGGAAGCTCCCCTTTGGAAGTGCTGGCTGAACGGTAAGACATACTATGCACAGAATGGAATGCTGTTTGTTTTTCAAAATAGTGCATAAGATACAGAATGCAATAATAAGGCTTTCAAAAACATGGTGGTTGTTTTCAGATGTGATATTGAACATATGATAATGGAAATAAATGCAATTGTTTTGCAGTTTAATCTGATTTGTGTCTGAATATTTAAACTTGGCATACTGTAAAAATAATATGAGTAATATGATGTTATTCCAAACACATCAAGAGTGATACAAAACTTATGATGAGGTTGACAGTGATTGTGTCTTCAAACTGAGCAGTAAACAGCTCAAGTCCCTGCTGGCCGTCATTTACTGTGGTGCTCGTTTTCTTCCTGCACTGTTATTTTGCTGCATACTGCAGGGTAATTCACAGTGGTAAAGCACTTTTCAACTTGTATGCAATAAGCAGCGTGTTTGCGGGGAAGCAAAAGTGTTTTACGAGCGAGTAGCTTGCATGATGTCTCTAGGGTCTCATCTTGAGACATCACTAAAGGGATGAATGCCAAAATGAAGGGAATTTGGGTCTGAAAACAAGCACGGCTCCTTTGGGTTTCAGGGAAAGTATCTATCGACTGCTGCCTCAGACGACACCAGAGAATGTGAGCAAGAACTTTAGCCAGTACAGCGTGGACCCGACTACACGGTACCCCAACATCAGCCTTCACCAAGTGAGACCCAACCAGGTGGGTTTATGCACATCTGACCGGTCAGAAAACCCAGCTGCAAGTTTTGTCTAGTTATTTTTGCTAAATATTTATTTGAGAAATTTAATAGCACTTAAATTAAATATATTGCAGATCTCTCTCTCTCTCTCTCTCTATTATACTGTACATTGTCATTTGTAATATCATGATCCCTAAATTCACTTTTAGTATTTAAAATTGATATAGCTTCAATGTTTTTTTTTTAATTAATCTAATTTTTATTTGGACAAAAGCATAGAATTTCAATATTGGCTATTTATCAGTTATTGGCTATAACAAAAACAAACAAACAAACAAAAAAATGCTTATTTGTCCTAATTTTACTAACTTTACTTACTATACTTATCTGCCCTAATTTTAATTTTGGTGCATTCCAAAAAATAAACAGTATACATTTTTTAGTATCATTTTCACTCTTTTTTTTTTTTGGCTTTTGAGTAAATCTGTAAATAAGGTAATTCATTTTGTGCACATTTCATTTGCTGTCACTTTATGCACATATTGGCATTTTATCTGCCTTCTGCATGCTTTCTAGATATTGGCGATATTGGCTTTACAATATAATTGTCTGCAGGTACGGCATCTGTTAGACACCGGAGAAACCAGGGATTTGCGTGTCGACATGGAGAATGTGGTCAACTCATCAACTCCTAAACTCAAAAGAAATGGTTGGTAGATTTAGTATCGCATTATTATTATACATCAGCTGTGGATACATACATTTTCCATATATTTATTTAGTCTTTCCATACATTGTATAGTCTCAAATGTAAATGTGTATAATTTGATTTATTTTCATCCTAGAAATTCTGCTTGAGAAGCAATTGCAAGGTAATTTTGTGGGCGACTCTAATCCGAATGCATGATGTTCTACAGGCTTCTACGTTTCAACTAGCTTTGTGCAGTTTGTTGTATGAGAAGAGTAACTGACATGGAATGGAAAGTTGTCTTTGAGCACTTTAGAATTAAATGCAACTATGCACTAACAAATATTTGTGGATTTTCACAAACTGAGAAATATTATCAATGCTGTCGGTGTCTTGAATGTTTCATAACCTCTCAAAAAGGAATGAAATGCACCATGAAAGTTCTTCAGACGTTGTTCTGGTCATGTGACTAACTCCGATCCGATTGGATGTTGGCGCATTCCATTACTGAATATGCACATTCTTGCTTAGGCACCACTTGACATTGCTTTCCCCCATCAGAGTCCATCGTGCGCTCCAGTAAGCTGCTGAACTGGTGTCAAAGACAGACGGAGGGATACAGAGGTGTCAGCGTGTCTGATCTCACCATGTCCTGGAAGAGCGGCTTGGCCCTGTGCGCGCTCATCCACCGATACAGACCAGACCTCATGTAAGTGCAGTATGCCACATGCTGATCCCAACAAAAGCTCTGTGTTATTTGCGCTGCTATATTTAGATATGCAGGACTGGAGCACAAACGCTGCTGCAGAGAATCAGAGATTCAGTTCATGCAAAGAATAACAAAACTTGAATCGGAAAAGACGTGTAAGTCATATGCCCCGCAGTGTGAGAAGACAGGAGATCAAGCAAAGTTAAAAGGAAAATTTTGACCTTTTAGAGAGTTTTTAGATTTTGGTGTATGATTATGAGCTTTGGACTAGAATCATAAAAGATGCACTCTGTACTGTAGTTTTTTCCATCATTAAAAAGGTTTTTGACAAAAATAAATGTATAATTTATAATACCTTGTGACAAATATGTTTAAAATGATGTATACTTATACCTTAGCCATCTTCAAGAATCGGCTAAAAGCACATCTCTTCCATCTTTATTTGACCCTCTAACTCTTATGCAAAGAATAACAAAACTTGAATCGGAAAAGACGTGTAAGTCATATGCCCCGCAGTGTGAGAAGACAGGAGATCAAGCAAAGTTAAAAAGAAAAATGTTTGACCTTTTAGAGAGTTTTTAGATTTTGGTGTATGATTATGAGCTTTGGACTAGAATCATAAAAGATGCATTCTGTACTGTAGTTTTTTCCATCATTAAAAAGGTTTTTGACAAAAATAAATGTATAATTTATAATACCTTGTGACAAATATGTTTAAAATGATGTATACTTATACCTTAGCCATCTTCAAGAATCGGCTAAAAGCACATCTGTTCCATCTTTATTTGACCCTCTAACTCTAGCATTCTCTAGTCTAATTCTATTCTTAAAGGGGTCATATGATGCGATTTCAAAGCTCACCGGCCTCCGCTCACTCTAGCCCTCCAGCCGTTCCTCACTCTAGCCCTCCGGCCGTTCCTCTCTCTAGCCCGCGGCCTCTGCTCACTCTAGCCCGCCGTGTGTGACGCTAAATAATAACACTAGCTTCTCTATTCTTTTTGTATTCTATTTATTTGTTTTCTATCTATTTCTATCTGTTTTATTTGTATTTATTATATAATTAAAAAAAAGCCTTGCTGTTGCTACGTGTACTGCATTAGGTTTAACTTAGACTTGTCATAGCACTTGCATATCATTGCTCTTTTGTTGATTTTGATTGCTTCCATTGTCCTCATTTGTATGTCACTTTGGATAAAAGCGTCTGCTAAATGACTAAATGTAAATGTATACTCAAATATGATACACTACCATTCAAAGGTTTGGGGGCAATAATATATTTTTTTAAAGAAATGTATACTTTTTTCAGCAAGGACACATTAACTTGATTAGAAGTGACATTTATAACATTTATTCTATAATAGAAGACCGAAAACTAGACACAAAACAGAAGATTCGATGGGTCAAAGATTTAACAGCTTTGTAGTTGATAGCACCTAGAAATGAAAATTCTGTCATCATTTACTAACCCTCATGTTATTCCAAACCTTCATGACTTACTTTCTTCTGTTGAACACAAAATAAGTTATTTTGAAGAATGTGGGTAATCAAACAGTTTCTGGTCCTCATTTACAGCCATAGTACTTTTTTCCCTACTATGGAAGTCAATGGGGACCAACAACTGTTTGGTTACTCATATTCTTTAAACTACCTTCTTTTATGTTCAAAAGAAGATAGAAGCTCATACAGTTTTGGAAAACTTGAATGCAAGTAAATAATGACAGAATTTTCATTTTTGTGTGAACTGTCCCTTTAAGCTGTGGAATACGAGTCAGCAAGAACATACGGAGTGCGCCTTCAAGTGATAATGCCATTGCTAATATTAAGTGTTTCTTCAGCTGTGGTAGTTAATTTGTCCTCACCTCATTACTTTTGATAAGATATTTATAGCTTTGTTTACCATATAGTGTTTATATACTTGGCTTACTCATCTGTTGAGTACAGCACACTATAATAACAGTACGGCTGGGTAAGTTTCTGCTTTTCAAAAGGTCAGGAACTCATGCTGTAGTTATTCTTACTCTGGGCTCTGTTACATAGAACAGCTGAAAGCCCCATTAGCTTTTGAGACGCACATTAACATTATCATAACTGTCCATTAGAGCAGATGCTGAGTGACCTTTAAAAGCTTTTGCTTATGAGTTGTTTGTCATGGTCAGCTAAACTAGTCTGCATTTGTGTTTGTAAGGCAGCATTAGTGGAAGTCTCGGAGGAGGATACCACACACCGACAATTGCCTTCTTCAGTAGCTCAATCCAGATACATTAGTTCAGTTTCATATACATACTATAGGAAGTATATTTCTGATAATGCATATAAAATAGACTGTGTGAATTGACACAGTTGGCAAGTTAAATTTTAAGTAGCCATTACTTCAGTCTTCAGAGTCACATGATGCTTCATAAATCACTCTAATATTATCAATGTTGATAATAGTTTTGCTGCTTAATATTTATGTTGGAACCACTATATATTAAATATTATATATAATATGTGCAATATACTATATAAAGTTTGTGATTTGAAGAATAATTTGAGTGTGAAACATTTTAATAGAATGTCCAATTTTAAATGATATTAGACCACGTTTTTACTCAAAAAAAAAAAAAAAAAAAAAAAAAAAAAAAACAAAAAATTTTTTAAAAAGGCTCCCGAACTACCAAGACATTTTTAAAAAGGTCTCTCCCGGAAGAACTTTAACCTGGAATTATTATCATTGATTTCATTGAAAGATTCTGTATGATTTTTATCAGTACTATTATTGTTTTTTTTAATAATGTTTGTATGCATGTTCAATGTATGTTTGATTGCTTCTTAAGAAAATGTTATATTATTATAAATAATGTATTGAAATGATCCTGTTAATGTTGCTATAAATATAGCCATTGTTGCTGATATGGCGTTAAAACATAAATAAATACATAAATAAATTATATATTATATAATATATAATGTTCATGATAACATTTATTTGAAATAGAAATCTTTTGTAACATTATAAATGTCTTTGATCAATTTAATGTCCTTGCTGAAAAAACTGACCTGACACCAAACTTTGAATGATAGTCACTGTGATGTGGATATTTTCAAATAGATCATTTTTTAAACCAAGTATTGGTTCTTTGCTAAAATATTTTCTTTTTGATGCTGAAAGAGATTTACACTAACAGATTTGCATCCGTAAGGCAACCTTTAATGACGGTTCCCAGTTTGACACAATATGAGCAACACAGACTAACTTGGGAATGCAGCAAAATTCAACTTTAAAGTTTAATGCAATGCGGCGACCAGCAGTTGGAGTCCAGACAGTGAAGCTTGTGTGATCCACAGCCTTATGCAGTTGTATGCAGCAACCGAGTAATAACTGCTGCTAGCAACCAAACAAAACAACAACTTGAATCGCTGTCAGTGTGAACAGCCCTTGAAAATTCAGTTCAGCAGATGTTCTTGTGACATTTAGGATTGAAATATGTAATAAACTGCTTTCTAGATCATGCTCTTTTTACAGTATCATTGATGCATGTGGGTTATCTGGCGTCAGTGTTTTTAAATCTTTTCTAACTTGCTAAATAACATGATTGTGGGATATGGAGATGTCTCATGTTGCGATGTCTTGTAACTACAGTGACTTTGACTCGTTGGATGAGAAAGACATGGAGAAGAACAACCAGTTGGGTTTTGACGTGGCCGAAAAAGAGTTTGGGATTTCTCCCATCATGACCGGGAAGGAGATGTCAGTTGTGGTGGAGCCTGACAAGCTCTCCATGGTGATGTACCTCAGCCAGTTCAACGAGATGTTCAAGGACACTGTGCCACCAGGTGGTGAGTTGTAGAGCTACAATAATGCATCAAGAGAAACTTGCAAAACCAAAAAGGAATGTTAGGCATTAGGAGTGTTTATGCTATTTCTTAGCATGCAGTTCATTCATCGATTTTAGTCATCATTATTCATATTTTTGTGTTTCAGAAAACCACAATCTGAGCCCTGAGGAGAAGGCTGCGTTGATTGCCAGCACTAAGTCACCCATCTCGTTCCTCAGTAAACTGGGTCAAAGCATCGCTATCTCCCGCAAACGAAACCCCAAGGTAGTCAAGTTTCTTTTTGATACTGCAAAATGAGTGATTCTTGCCATCTCAACTTTTCCTCTCAAACCCTGTGTAGGATAAAAAAGAAAAGGAACTGGATGGTCTGGGGAAAAGACGAAAGACCAGCCAGGCTGGACAATCAGAGGATGTAAGGCCATATCTTGCTGGATCATTGGATGTACAACATTGTGTACAGTTAGGTCCATATATATTTGGACACTGACACGATTTTCATAATTTCGCCTCTGTATGCCACCAGAACAGAATTAAAAATAAAACAATCAAGATGAATTCGAAGAGCAGACTTTAAGCTTTAATTCAAGGGGTTGAACAAAAAATATAACACAAAATGCTTAGGAATTACAAACATTTTATACACAGTACCCCCATTTTCAGGGGCTCAAATGTAATTCGACAAATAAATATAATCATAAATAAAATGTTCATTTTTAATATTTTGTTGAGAATCCTTTGCAGGCAATGACTGCCTTAAGTCTGGAACTTAGGTTCCAGAGACTGGGTTTCCTCCTTTGTGAAGCTTTGCCAGGCCTTCACTGTAACACCAGTAACCCAGTGCCACTGGAAGCCGTGCATGCTCATGCCATCACACTGCTCCACCATGTTTCACAGATGATGTTGTATGCTTTGGATCATGAGCTGTTCCAAGCCTTCTCCATACTTTTTTCTTCCTGTCATTCTGGTACAGGTTGATCTTAATTTTAGCTGTCCAAAGAATGCTTTTCCAGAAGTGGTCTGGCTTTTTTAGATGTTTTTGGCAGTCTAATCTGGCCTTGTTTGCTCCTTGTGGTGAACCCTCTGTATTTGCTCTCGTGAAGTCTTCTCTTGATTGTAGACAGTGACACGTCTACCTCCTGGAGAGTGTCCTTCACTTGGCTGGATGTTGTGAAAGGGTTTTTCATTACCATGTCCTCCGTGGACGTCCAGGCCTCTTTATGTTGCTAAGCTCACCAGTGCATTCTTTTTTCTCATAATGTATCAAACTGTTGATTTGGCCACTCCAAATGTTCCTGGTATCTCTCTGATGGATTTGTTTTGTTTTTGAAGCCTAAAAATTGTGAAAATTGACAATTTCACTTGTTTTACCATGTCCTCCGTGGACGTCCAGGCCTCTTTATGTTGCTAAGCTCACCAGTGCATTCTTTTTTTCTCATAATGTATCAAACTGTTGATTTGGCCACTCCAAATGTTGCATCAGAATCTCTCTGATGATGGATTTGTTTTGTTTTTGAAGCCTAAAAATTGTGAAAATTGACAATTTCACTTGTATGGAGACATCCTTTGACAGCATGATGTGGGTTCAGAGCAACAGCTTCCAAATGCAAATAGCACACTTTTAGAATCAACTCCAGAACTTTTACCTGCTTAATTGATATAGAAATAATTAAAGAATAGCCCACATCTGTCCATGAAACAGCTTTTGAGTCAGTTGTCCAATTACTTATGGTCCCTTGAAAAAGGGCGGAGGTACATATTAAATAGCTGTAATTCCTTAACCTTTTCTCCAATTTTGATAAGTTGAATACCCTCAAATTAAAGCTCAGAGTGTGCACTTTAAGCCCATATTCATATAACTGTAACTTGAATATGTTTTGGTCAGCAGCTAAAATAATAAAAATTGTGCCTGTGTCCAAATATATATGGACCTAACTGTATGTACTTGTAAAAATCCTTTCATTCCTGTTCTCCAACATCACAGGAAGAGTTGCAGAGGGTTAATCGAGACGACAGGCCCTCTATAGCTACTGCTCTGACAGAACGTAAAATTGACTCTGCTGCAGCAGCGAACAACAACAACAAAGTGAAGTCGATGGCCACACAGCTGTTAGCGAAGTTTGAGGAGAACGCCCCGACGCAGTCCACCGGTCTCAAGCGACAGGTTGGTTAGAATTTGTGTTTTTGCACGGTAGCTGCCTAAAATGACTATGGACGTTCATTTGTGAATTCTTAAAATAACACGTGTAATAAAGCATCATCTTCAGCAACAGGCTAAACTGCTTTGTTGGAGCAAAATTTGCAACACAATGTTTGTTGTTCTGCAGGAATGTCTGGCTGACTGTACCAGTGCTATTTTGTTATTATTTACATGCTATTATAGTATTTATTAATATTTTGAGTTAGCTTTATTTTTTATATTTTCAGTTTTCATTTTAGTTTAATTTTATGTGTTGTCATTTTTATTAGTTTTTCTATTTTACTTTATTTTTACTTCTGTAATTTTAGTATTTACATTTATTAAATTTTTTTATTTTTAAGTTTTAGTTAACAATAACACTAGACTGTATATTATCCCTTCAATCTGTAGGAACTGTTTCATTTTAAACTTAAGTTAAAAATGAACCTTTACTTACCAGGAAATAGGCAAAATACTACATGAAAATGACAACTGATTTAAGGCGGGCAGTGTTAGAATATCACATTGTGAATCAGCATTACTTTTTTTTGTGCAATGCTATTTATTTATGTGGGAAGCATAAAAGCTCATGTGGTTATAAAGCCCAGGTTTGTTAAACCAAGCGAGACGAATCCTGTCCTAAACTGCTGTTACTTGATGTTTGAAGTGCACAGGATGCTGGGATTGTTTGAAATGATCAGGTTTATAGAGGAAAATTGACTCTGATTCACGCTGTGGTCCATTCTAGAGGTCAACCGTTAGTGGATTTTGCCGATACCTGAGGTTGGTCCACACTGGCCGACACCGATTAATTAACCGATAGTTTTAAAATTGATACTGAACAAAAACTAAAATAGTGCTTTATTAACAAAAACCGTACTGAACCATACTAGTAGTAGTAGTAAAAATAAATAATAATAGTAAATGTTGAAATTAACACTCTAACAAGGAACAATACTTACACAGCTTTCATTAATCTTAATTCTACAAATGGACTCTTATTTTAAAGTGTTACCATTTAATTTCAACTGTCATGCTTAAAGATCCACATCTTTAAATATATACACAAAGGCTATAGCATTAAAATTATATACATATGGATATTGTATGTATACTCTCACACTTTAACTGCTTCTATTCTTGAACACTTGATGATTATCTAATCAAAATAAAAGCGCAGCGCTGAGTCTAGGAGAACTCACCGGTATCACACACACTCCGGACGTGTCGCGTACAACTCGAGCAGCGGTCTAAAACAGTTTATTTAATCACCAAACAGACACAAGTATACTTCAAGAATGAACAATTTGGCATGGATGAGTTTGAAGTTCCTTTCTATTCATATAAGAATTATGAATAAAATGTGTCTTGGTTTTCACAAAAATATTAAGTGGCCCAACTTAAGCAGTTTCCAACTGTGATGATAATAGGAAATGCTTCCTGGAGACTGAAGTAATGGCTGCTGGAAATTCAGTGTTGCCATCCCATTAAATATATTTTGTAATAAAATTTAACTATATTTCTCTTTTACTGCATAAATGCAGCCTTGGTGAGCATAAAAGACTTCAAAAACAATAAAAAATCTTACTGACCCCAAGCTTTTAAACGGTAGTGTTTTTCTCAGGTGTCTGTTGTCTGCCTCATGCATGGACTGACTCATTTGGATGTCTGCTCATTCATCTGTTTCCTTCTACTTCCTGCATTAATTTGTTTCAAACTCAGTACCTGATCACATGCTTTTAATAGTTGTTATTTATTCATGCATTGCAATGCACATTGCAGGTGTTTTTTCTGCAGTCAGTTCAGTCATTCACTTTCAGTTTCTCTCTGCATGCCTATCCTTATCCTTATTTCTCATTTCTGTTCTTTTCCATTCTCTTTCTCACTCCAATGGATGTTAATGGCTTTGGCACTTCCTCACTTTTCCATTGGTCACTTCACTGGTTACAGGGGGACTCCATGCCCGATCTGGGGCTCATACTGACCCCCTCTCCGGCCGCTCCCTCTCTGAAAGAGTCAGTGCGGCTGGCTCCAGTCCCTGCATGGAGGAAGGTAAAGAGTGTAGTACAATCCCATGTTCCCAGATTCCCATCAACCGTTAACACTCTAAGTACCTAATTTACCTCTCTACTCATCCATAATTGTTATTGTCTTTGTGACTAAATGAACTGGGTCTTAACTAAGCTTGTTTTGTTGAAATATGTCTTACATGTCCATTTTTCTTCATTTAGTCTTAATGCTGCATCAAAAGCTAGTTTCTTGTTTGTTTGAGTTGAAGTAGCTATATGTCTTTACTGTCTCTTTTATCAATTAAATGCATGCTTGCTAATTACAGGTCATTACATAAATACAGTACAATACAATACAATGCAATACTGACCCCAAACTGAATGGTAATGCATTTACTGTTCTCTAAAGTCTATAATTGGGTTTATTAAGCTCAGTTGGTTAGCCAAGTTTGTTTCCATTTGTTTTAATGAGAGAACCATTATATGAACATGAAGGCTTGTGCGTGTGTGAGGGGAAAACATGACACCTTGAATTCATCTTTTATGCTTGTATTAAGAGGCGCACACAGTTACAGGAGCAGATGAGTTTCCGCTATAAAGAAAGACTGAAGTGTCAAACTCTCCCCATCAAACAGGAGCAGGTACACAGCTGTAGAAAAGACGCATTGCTTACAGTTATCATATAGTGCTCTGTGTCCTTCCTTGTGTAGTAAGCAAGAAGATACTGTAGTCCCATAAGATGATCATATAGTCTCCTGTGTACTTGTCTTCTGTTGTTAGTTTCCTGTTTGACTAGACGTGCTCATGCATCAGAGACCTAGAGGCATATCTTTCAACACTGCACTTTGGTGCTCTTTGTTTGCGTTTCCAGTTTGATTGAGACGAATGAGCCGAACGCTTTGCTTATTGTGCTGGTGCTTTGATATTCCTCGTTCTCAGATTGTAGAGTTTCAGATGTGGTTTTGATAGCTTTGTTAGACATTCCATGTGCATGGGAGGTCTGTGTGTTTGTTAAGTGTCACTAAAGTCACTGGGTTTGATTATCAACGTGTGTTTTTCTGCTTCTAATGGGTCACTGTTTGTTCTCTTAACGCAACGTTCCTGTCTCTCATCACTACGGTTGTGTTTGTGTGTAGTAGGTGATTGGATGTTTGGATGGTATTATCAGGTTTTTTAATTAGAGGAGTGTGTGAGGTGTTGTATTTATGTGAACGTGTTTCTCCTCTCTTGTCTCTCTGAAGGCCAGCAGCGGGACTGAGGTCTTGAGGAGCTGCCCTAAGAAAACCATTCTCCTTTCTTCTTCCTCACCCTCATCTTCCTCATTCTCTTCATCGTTTCTTCCACACGCACAGGTGACACTCTCCTGTCTGGCTGTACTAACCTCAGCATCTCTCACAGGGGCTAGCTTTAACAGAATTCCTTCTATTGCAGTCTCTTGAAATTAGGTTTTTGGAGGCATTTAGACTTTATGGTGCAGAACTGTTTGTCTTGATCAATGTATTGAGCAATCCTCCTGGCATATTCACATTTTTTTTATATATACTTCAACAGTTTGATCTCTGCAAACAATTGTACAAAAAGCACACAGGAAAAAAAATATTGATAAACTTCAAATACCCTTTAAGTACATGTAAGGAAAATAAGTAAAGACTATTTTGACACTATTATTATTATTTGACTTCATATATTCATCCATAATTTTTTTTTTATAACATCATGCTCCATTGCTCCAATCTTTAGATGAAAAGTTCAAAAGCAATTATTTTAAATAGAAATCTTTAAGGCATTATAAAGTGTAATTTTTGTCATTTTTGATCAATTTAATGCGATTTAATTATTAAATTTAGTGTATTTATTAAAACCATGTTTTCAGACATTTTTTCCTGGTTTTAATATTCTTTAGCTGTGGTTAAATATTATATTTAGCATTTATTTGTAATAAAACATTTATCATTCAGTCAGGCTTGTCAGTTTTGAAAGTATGTAGTTGCACATCCTTATGACCAATTTACCTAAAGCTGAAATGGAATGTTTCGTGCAGTTCTGGAAACCAAAAAAGTTGTCATTGTGTTTTATGGAGTTTGATAAAGTTGAAATTGCATTTTGGTTCGCATCAGTTTAATGAAAATACTGGAATGGACCACCATGGCTTTTGTTGCATTTTTGTTTCAGAAATATGGGGCTGTTACCCTTCTAGTTTTGATTGTTCGTTTAGTCCGAGATCTCCTAGCTAATGATAGGGTGGAACTGATTTATGTCTGTTCTCTGCAGCATCATGTTAACCAGTCAGAGATAAACAAGTGTAATGGTGGTGGTGATGAAGAGAATGAGATCCAGGACCCTTCAATCTATTACAGGGTAACCATGACATCTGCATGGGGCTTTTCTCAAAACTTTGCTAAAAAAAAATCTTTTGAAGATTTGTAACTTCCATTACATCTTCGTGAACATGCATGTTGTTTGGAGAACTACAGATAACTTCACTAGATTTGCGGAATAAACATGTTATATTTATAACAATGTGTAATTTCAGTATATATATTAATTTTTAGAATTAGAACTACAAAAACTTGCAGCACAAATGAGTGCCACAGATGTGATGTCAAAACCAAGAAGAATTATTCACCATGTGTTCCCTTGAGATTTTCCTACGAGTTTTTCAATGTAGGAGTAAATATAAATTGACGATACTTGGATATTTTGCTCTACAACATAAATTACACATACAGAAAATCTTTTTTTTTTATGTTAAAAAATGAACATAACTGTTTGTTCGTAACATGTAACTACATAAGAATTAAGGAGTGTGAGTGTGTACAGTTATTTTGAAGATTTGTAACTTCCATTACATCTTCGTGAACATGCATGCATGCATGCATGTGTGTTTGGAGAACTACAGTTAACTTCACTAGATTTGCGGAATAAACATGTTATATTTATAACAATGTGTAATTTCAGTATATATATTAATTTTTAGAATTAGAACTACAAAAACTTGCAGCACAAATGAGTGCCACAGATGTGATGTCAAAACCAAGAAGAATTATTCACCATGTGTTCCCTTGAGATTTTCCTACAAGTTTTTCAATGTAGGAGTAAATATAAATTGACGATACTTGGATATTTTGCTCTACAACATAAATTACACATACTGAAAATCTTTTTTTTTTTTATGTTAAAAAATGAACATAACTGTTTGTTCGTAACATGTAACTACATAAGAATTAAGGAGTGTGAGTGTGTACAGTTTACATGATCTTTTAGAAATCATACTAATATGCTTATTTACTGCTCAAGAAACGTTAATTATTATTATCAAAGTTGAAGTGTGTAAATTGTACACTTGCCCCATAGATTTGTAAATGCTATTATTATAAGCACTGTTGTTATTTTTGGGTGCTGTCAGTGAAGGTTAACTTGTATTTAACTTGCAGTATTTCTTTTAAGATTGTAGACTTCTAGTTTTCTTTCTGCCTACCTACCTGCTGTTCCCGTCATCTTGCCTTTACATCCCTCATCTCTCTCTATGTCTCTCTTTCTGTCTCTACCTCTTTCAAAGTCTAAGAAAAAGGCGTCACACTTCTTCACAGAGCAGTGGTACAGAGCGTGTGATGTGAGCTCTGTTAGCCCTCTGCACTCTCCCAGCTCTTTCCGGCAGGTAGCAATGATGCATCTAATGACTGCTGTGTTCTGGAGTCGTGTGTTTGCATGGATGTGTTTCTGTAACACTTTCAAACGCACTCTGTTAATGGAGGAGAGCTGCCATTCTGTATATGTCTGAGTTGTCTCTCTCCAGTCTTCTTTTGTGTGTATGTATCAGTGTGTGAAGCTGAGAATATTGAAATACAACAAAAATGGACAAGTACTGTATGTTGCCGAACATTTTAACACAGCTGTATGCTGGATGTGACCTATATTCATGAGCTGCATGAAAGCTATTTTTGGAAACTGACCTGCATGTTCATACAACATTGAAATATTGAATTGAATTTGAATTTAACGTGCTTCAAGCATGATTGTTAAAGTCCAGGAAGAGTATTTTGCTGATAAATAAGTTTGCATCTTCACGTATGTTTAACAGTGTAATTTTATGTTGAAGGCTTTTGTTTTAATTAACAGTTGTTGTTTTTTTGTACAACTTGACTGCTTCGTTTTGAATTGCTTTAAGCTGAATTACACCTACACAAATAACCATGCGAGAAAATTTGATTCTATTTTTTATAAAAATGTTATTCTTTAGTGTCTTGAAACACTCACATTCAAAAAATGTGGGGTTAGTAAGATATTTTAATAGAAAGCTGAATTTTCAGCTTTTCAGCCATTACTCCATTCTTCAGTGTCACATAAACCTTCAGAAAACATTCTAATATGCTGATTTATATGTGCTCAAGAAACATTCTTTTTATTATCAATGTTAAAAACAGTTGTGTTGCTTAATATTTTGGTGGAAATCCAAATTGAGTTTGTTTTTTAATTTAATTTAATTAATAGAAAGTTCACGTAGCCTCATTTATATTTGAAATATACATCTTTTGTAGCATTATGAATGTCTTCACTGTCACTTTTGATTAGTTTAATTGCTAAATAGAAGTATTAATTTCTTTCAAATTAGTCTTATTAACCCCAAACTTCTGAAAGTTAATGTATGTTTGCTTCTTAAAATATGTTATGAAGTAAAAGTGTAATTTTAGGTTGAACGTTTTATCTCAATTAACAGTTTTCCTTGTTACCCGTTTCTCACAACTTGACTGCCTTATTCTGTTTTAGCACTTTGAATTGCTTTGAGCTGAATTACACCTTGTGCCTTCTGCCATCTACACAAATAACCATGCAAGAACATCTGAATTTAACTTTGATTTATTTTTAATTTTTCATAGTCTTGAAAATTGCTACAGCATCTCACTCCGCTTTCAGCCATTTATGCTTTTAAAAACCTTTTTGTTCTGTTCACCACCTGTAGCGCTATGTAAAGATGTACTCAGGGGGTGTGAGCTCACTGGCTGAGCAAATAGCCAATCAGCTTCAGGCTAAGGACGACCCCAGGCCCTTGCTTGAGAAAAGGGATTTGGTAAGAATTATGGGTGTTGTTCACAAATGAGACTGCATAGCTCATTTTTGCTTTGGTACATGGCTAGCTTGTAGCACTGAGAATCACCAACTCTCTGTGACCACAATGCATAAACCATGATTCAGTGCACTGGTAACTGGATCATGACACTGCAGCAACGACAACCAGACAGGAATAACACCTATGAGATTCAATATAAGGCTAAAAAGTTGTTCTGTTTTGGGCATTAAATCCATGTACTCTGTTTTTGTTCCAAGAAAAATGATGTGAGAAAGGTTCACTGTATTGATGCTGAGCTGCAGATGAAACAGTGAACCGTTTTTCTTTCACTTGTCTGTAAACTACTATAGTAGTTTAGTATTTTTTTTTTATAATTTGGACTTTTTTTTACATTTCTAAAATATTCCTAAATCTTTCATTTTTATAATTTCTAAATGTACATAATTTAAAGAATTGTAAAGTTATTTTTATATTTTATTTTAAAGGATGTAGTGATTTACACAGATGTGATTATTTTAGTGTCTTTCACCTAACTTTACACAAGAATTGGGTCTTCAGTTCCTCGAAGCACAGAAGATCATAAATTATTTTGGTGCATGCTGTCTCTCTTTTGGCAGATTTTTAAGCACTTCGTTACCACTCCTGGCTCTCCCTTAAAAAAAGACCTGAACTAGCATGTCTTGCTTCTATGTCTTTCTCTCTGCAGGGTTCCTTGCGGAAGGAGTTCCCTCAGAATATTGGAGGCAGCGATGTGTGTTTCTTCTGTCGGAAGCGCGTCTATGTGATGGAGCGTCTCAGTGCAGAGGGAAAGTTTTTCCATCGCAGCTGCTTCAAGTGCGACTACTGCGGCACCACCCTCCGGCTGTCCTCCTACGCCTTCGATGTTGAGGATGGTATGAAATCCAAGCAGAAATAAAATCCCTCCTGATCATGTTATTCATACTGTAGCTACTTATAGGTTACCATCATTTTTTTCCTACATTACATTTTATTATTGTTCATTAACTTGAAGGATTAGTTCACCCAAAAATAAAAATTCTGTCATTAATTACTCACCCTCATGTCGTTCCAAACCCATAAGACCTTCGTTCATCTTCGGAACACAAATTCAGATATTTTTGATGGAATCTGAGAGTTGAGAGAAATTCAGAGAAATTGAAGTTGGGCCACTGATGTCACATGGACAGTTTTATCGATGTCCTTACTACGTTTCTGGGTCTGGGAACATTTCAGTTGTGCTGCTGTCAATGCAGGGTCAGAGAACTCTCAGATTCCATCAAAAATATCTGAATTTGTGTTCCGAAGATGAACGAAGGTCTTACGGGTTTGAAACGAGTTGAGGGTGAGTTTTTGGGTGAACTAACCCTTTAATATGAATACTCTATAGAGCTGTTTTGATTAATGTATGTAGTTTCTTTAATTTCCTGCTTGCTCATAGTTTGCTGTCATGAGATGCTTTGTGACCAACACAGTGGGATATAGTTGTATGAGACAGAGGGACCGTTTCTCTACATCAACGATTCTTTATTAACTATGAGCCATTTTGTACACTCCCACGTGGTGTAGTCACACATATACACGTTAGGCGGAAATCAACCACATTTGTTGCATTTCGCATTTGATAAATCACTTCATTTGAGGTTTTCTCCGATTTATGTCCTGAAACAGATGCTAATGGAGTTCATTTGTGTGTGTTTTTGCTCTTGTAGGGAAGTTTTACTGTAAACCACACTACTGCTACCGACTTTCTGGTCTGGCACAGAGAAAACGGCCTGCGCCTGCTGCTGCTGCTCCCGTAAACCCCAAGGTAATGACTTCTTTAGCATCTGTGTTTGGGGAGAGAGCAAGGTTTTTTTGTTTGTTTTTTTGTTTTTATCAGAGAGTTGTTTTTCTGACACTGTACATTATATTTTAACTTTTTTTTTTTTTATGTAATAACAAAAAAAGCTAATATATTCAGATGTTTTTTGTTGTGGTCATAGGAGCCCCAGGTGTTGGCGGTAACCCCCAACACAGTGGACGCCCCAGGCCAAGCCATAACTTCTCAGGCCCCCGTGGAACGCCAGCCATCAGGTACCCGCCTTTCCTCTTTAGGCCCCGTCCTGTGCCCCTCTCGAGGAGTAGGGGGCATTCTGCGCTCGTTGCGACGAGCGATGTCTTGGACCCGCCACCAGGTGGCGCACAATCCCTTAGATTCTCCTTTCCTCCTCGCCTATTGCGTTTATCTGCTCTCCTGCTTTACTCTCAACATCCTGCTCAATTTTATCTAGCATGACCCCTTTCCAGCCTCTGAGCTTATCGGGGCACTTCCTGCCCGCACGTGCTGTGATTTCGAGTGGTATTGTGCTTGTTTTGTGTATCCCTGGTGATGTCACAAATGATTAACTCATTGTAAACCTCTTGGCTGTATATAATATGTATAATATTCCGAGTGGTGCAGCCAAATTAAATCTCTTCTTTTGATTATGAGTAAACCATCCAGGCAAAAAAGCATATCAATTAAGTGTGTTTACTACTGTTAATTAATTGCATGCATAATTTAGAGCTTTTAAAAAGTGTGAATTGACTTAGAACAGTTTATATTCATCAAATAACACATTACGTGTAATAATAATTAACCTTTTTTGCCTGCATCTGTTTTTGTTGCTCTCCTTTCTGTCCTTCCACTGTATAGATCTGTGATTGTGGTGCCTTTAAGTTTGTGATTGTACTAATTTCAGACCTGTGCCCCTTTTGTAATGCAGTGCTCGTATCAGTGCTTGTGATTGGTGGACTCTGTAAGCTTTACCTTACCTCTCTCCTATCAGAGCAGCTTGTTGCTGAGCTAGTGCCTGCATCTGTGCCTGTGATTGGTCTACACTCCCATCAGTCCTTGCATTTCTGTCCCAGTGTTTGTTCACCTCTTAATTCTCCTCTGCATAGTACTAACACCACTGCTCATGGCATCCGTCATGTGTGTATCACTGAGAATGATTTACAATGCAAAACATCCGGTGAGTTTGTGCTACTTAGGATGAAATATATAAAGTGTAAAAGGTTATAATGGTTTTAGCAACATTAATATATTTAGCATAGAAATTTTAGAGGTTTGAATCTCATAAATCATTTTTCAGTTATTTTTCACCTAAAAATAGCAAGAAAATAGAAATTATGTTTTGCATAAAGAAAATAAAGCTTATTTTTTAGAACCGTTAAGATGTTTTGCATTTTGACATTTTCTTAGCTTTCGTTTAATGCAAAATCATTTGTATTACTGTTAAAATTGTATTACCTAAGAAAATCGCATTATTATTAATATATAATTTGACCTGTTTATTTGTTTTTTCATTGCAGTACTGAAAGTTTTATATTTATGGTTTACAGTAGACTTAGACTACAAATAATTGGCCTAAAAACAGAATTCCGTTTCCTCATGCACATTTTTTTTTATACTTTTAGATTTTGGGGAAAATATGGCTGAAAAATGAAAAATATGAAAGTAGAACGTGTCAGAATAAGAATATTATATTATTTATTTTTAGTATTCCTCTAGCATTTGGGTGATAAGATCAGATTCGTCTGGAATCATAGATATGCATCAAGTGAACACGACACACTATTTTATTCATGGGGTCTGTCACTACATAATCACTATATGAGGCATGTTCGTTATTCGGTGAGTTCTGAATACATCGGTCATAATTCAGTTACGGGTGACGAGTTTTTTCAATCGATTCTTTTTATATGGATTGCTTGCTTCATCCCTCTAACCACTTCCACCATCACAGTCATGTTTTTTTTTGTTTAATTACATTCACAAAATGTTCTCACTGGCTTGATTTGGGTTTTGGGATTTGCTTCACTGGATAGACGTATTAGTCATACACATGTCCACCTGTTCATTAATGTTAAAAAGTTCATTAATATTAAAACAAAATTTACTCCATTTATCTGAGATGCTTTAATAGGAAGGGAAAAAGGCAAGGTAACCATAACTTGTATTTATTATTTAAGAACATACTTAAAGTATTTTCCTGACACCATGATATTTAAATCTAGAATATCTGTGGAATCATGAAGGCCAAATATTGCTTGTTTAAATAAAGTTAAAGAGTTATCACTTTGACTGTGTTTGTCTTATTTGTCTGAGTGGAAATGAATCCTTGTGCAGTAAAACAACCTTAAAAGAAGGTAGGGTGGGTGGACGGTAGATATGAATTATATGAAATAATAAACTTAAAATCTTTATTCATCTCTGGATTGACGCCTAATGATTTTAGCTTAAACTAAATCAAGAATTTATTAGTTATAATTATGATAATGCAAATATTATGCTAATACCACCTCTCTACATAGCAGCCCAGAGCCACTCCCTATTTGTTACATATTAACTATTCACATTAATGACATTTTCTCTCTTCTCCTCTTTTCTGTCCATCACAGTGACAGAGGTGAACGGGGTTACAGAGCCCAGCGTGGCCAAACGTGTTAAAGGGACTCCTGAGAGGATCGAGCTGGAGAACTACCGTCTATCTATGATGAGAGAGGAGGAGCTGCAGGAGGTGCCTGAGGAGACGCTGGCTGAGCACAACCTCAGCAGTGTGCTGGACAAAGCCACCGACATCGAGGAGGGATCCAGGTATCCCTCACATCTATATATCATGTTGGTTGCGCTGTTCTAGCGTGTTTCTATCATGTGAGCACCACTAATTATCAGTCATTTTCAGCCATTACATAATATAATGAAAACGGTGCTTGTTCATTAGTATTCCTTGGTACTTTACTAATATAATTCTGCTGTAATTAAAATGTGTGGCAACAGTGTTTGCAGTTTTTTAAATTAAAATTTTCCATGCTCTTTAGTTCCTGTTTCACATGATAGAAATAAATTGGAAAATATTTTTAGTGCAGACGCTTAAATTAAAGTTTATTTACATTTGGCATATGGTAATTTGTTCAAGAAAAGTGACTTGAAGAACATCTACTGGAGTTCATCATTTGAGGACATGGTGTTGCCATTATTTGTTTATTTATTTATTTATTTTACCTGTTGAGTTTCAAATGTTCTTGCTTGGAATCAAAACTTTTAAATATAAAAGTGTCCTAAATGAACATGAAATCAAAATAGTTTCTTAATACTCATTCATGGTCTTTTTGAACAAACTTCTGCCATTCCGTTCTATATCTATCTTCACTAATCCTGTTATTTCAAACTTTCAATAAGGTTTTTTTTTAATGCCATGATCATTTTATTTAGCAAGGATGCATTAAATTGATCAAATTTGACCATAAAACATTAAATTTTTTACAAAAAAAACAAAAAAAGCTTTTTCATCTATCTAGCTTTCTATTCATTACAGAACCTATGAAAAATTGCTTTACAGTATCTACAAAAAAATATTAAGCCGCACAACTGTTCTCAATATTGATAATAAAAAATGTTTCTTATGCACCGAATCAGCATTAGAATGATTTCTGAAGGAACGTATGGCACAGTTAAACTGGAGTAATGGTGCTGAAAATTCAGCTTTCTATTAAAATAGAAAAGTGTTTTTTTAATTTTAGTAGTGTTTCACAATATTCAATTTCTTCTGTATTTTTAATCAAATGGTTTGGTTAGCTTAAGAGACAAGAGTCTTCTTTCAAAAACATTTAAAAATCTTACCAACCCCAAAACTTTTGAACTGTAGTCTAGGTAACTTGTTATTTTGTGAGTAAAAAGAGCAACCAGGGGTCATTTGGTGGTTTTTACACACTTATCCATCCCTACAGCAGCTCAGAGTCTGATATGGAGGAAGAGGATGAAGAACCGGAAGCGGCCGGCCCGTCTGATCTGGGTGGGGTTCCCTGGAAAGAGGCGGTGGAGCTCCACACTAAACTAAAGGGAGGAAGCGACCCTGGAGCAGCAGAAGATGATGATCGCCTTCATGACGGGGATGAAGAGATGGACGAGGATGAAGAGGAGGAAGATGAAGACGAGGAGGAGGAAGAGGAGGAATCGAGTGATGGTAAGCTTCGCGTCAGTGCTGTTAGATTCAATGTACTTGTGAGGGTGTTAAAAGTGTCTCTACACAATGAATAATGGATGTAGATGGATGTCCTGGACAGAATGTCCAGTTTGATGATGGTTAATTTGATTTTAGATGGAAAATTTGAAGTAGCTTATATTCTTTTTCTTTTTAGAAGATAATTTTAAAGAAATAGAAAGACTGTAATGTGTTTGCTCTGCAGAGTCTCATTTCCTCTGTCCACTTCATATCATCTTTATGTATGTGGCGTCTAGCTTCCCTGATTAGATATTAAATGTTCACCAGGGTTGTCTGCTGTCTCATATTCACAGAGAACTTCTAAAATTATTATTTTTTCTTTGAGTATGACTCTTTCTGATGAAAAATGTAAGACAAAAGATTTCCCAAGAGATTGCTCTAACCCCAGAGCTTCAGCCCCTGATGTATATTTTTTTTACGCTGATATATCTCATCAGTGAGACGCTGAATCATTCAGCGATTCTAAACTTGTTTATACTAATGTGCCACTGTTACTAGCCTTTTCAACCTTCTGCATTCTCAGATGTTTGCGGCATCTCTGGCAAATGAACTAGCTTTCCTTTTCCAACTGTGTCTTGTATTTCTACTTTATAAAAATAACCTTTTATAACTTTCTTTGACACAAACTTTTGAATAAGAGTCAAACTATTTTACATGGTGAAATCTAACAAATAGCTAAGGAAAAATTGGCGAAGGACCTTTGAATTATTTAATTTATTGAATTATGGAGCACCTGTCAACCAATCAGAATCAAAGACTGTACAATGCCATGGTATAAAACATTTTTTAGACAACAATATATAGTACTTGTATTATACTGTCATATTACATAATACCAAAGATTTGCCATATTTTGTCAGTTCATTGCTTTAGCTCAATAAAATAAATAAATAAATCAGTGCCAAGTCCATACTGTAGCTGATACTACTGTTAAAGTCCTCAGTACTTTAGTCTCTGAATGTTATTGGAGGTTCCTTGTTCTCTGGATCATCCTTTTCTGTGACAATATTATTTTTTCCCCATCTTTTGCCTGTCACTTGTCTCTTGATCCTCTGCTCCGTCTTTTCCATCACTGTGTGGATGTGCGTGTGCTGGGGTAATTGTATGGGATGACAGCGGGAGAGTATTTCCCCTGGGACAGGGAGCTTCATGCAGGTCTTTGGTTGGAGAATCTCACAAATGAAGAGGATACGGGTATATTTAAAGGTAGTGATGCCTGTGGATGCGTTTGGCTTTAGCACACGCCGATACCTCATAACTTCATCAGTAACTAAAGAATTATTGTGCTAACACAATTTGCCTGTGTTTCTCCTGCTTTCCTCCTCTTTTTATTAGCTCTAGATGTGTTTTAATTGAATATGGCTGTGAAGCTTTTACCATTAAACTAATTGTTAATTGCTGTCTTTTTCTGTAATGTTGTTTGGGGTTGAAAATGGCGTGCATTCACACCGCCGTGGTGTTTTGAATGAGATTTTTCAGGGTGTTTTCACACTTGCTTTGATTGTTTGGTCTGAAACTGAGCTTATGTCATTACCACAAAGTACCACTGTTAATACTAGCGGCATCTGTTTATTACTATATCTGAGTAACAGGAAGAGAAGATGCTAGCTTCTATGCTTGATTTAGTTGTTTTACCAAACCTTAAAGGGATAGTTCACCCAAAAATGTATATGACTGACTTCTGTGGAACATAAAGATATTTTGAAGAATATTAGTAACAAAACCATTTTGGTTACCTTTGACTTACTTTATATGGACAAAACAGACGTTTCTCATTTTTCTTTTATGTTTCGTGGAATAAAGCCATACAAGTCATACAGGTTTGGAATGACATGAGGGTGAGTAAATGATGACAGAATTTTCATTTTTGGGTAAACTCGTTTAACGCACAGAAAACAGCATTAACGTCTGCTGTAAATGTATTGAAAATAATGCATGCAAGAATGCATGAAATTTCTGTGACGAGATGGTATGATAAATGCATTATAGGCCTACTTTAAGGATCAAATTGTTCACTAATTTGGCCTGACTGTGATCCATACATGAATCATAACCCAGACTACAGTTTCAAGCAGACTTGGACACAGATTGCGGTTTGGCGCCAGTTAAATTAACTGAACACTGACATCAAGTGTACTCAAGTTCGCACCAAAAGCTCAAGTGTGAAAGCACCTGTAGAGTTGATTGTTGCTTTTTAAAAATTGCTGTCATATATGAAGGAGCCTTTTCTAATGCATGCTACTTTTCGTATGTACTAACTTGCCACTTTACAGTCTATTCTAAACCATAATGTTCTCCTTTCTTTTTGTCTTCTTCAATGTGTATGTCTGACTGTTTATGGCTGCTGAATCTCACTCTCTGTTCACTTTGCTGCCCATGGGGACTTTTTTGTGGCCTGGACCTTTTTACTTTTCAAACAAATTGGATTTTCTGTTCCTGACGTGCTAATGGACTCGCCAATGAATCCTACAAAATGATCGTGTCACCTTAATGGCTACCCGTAATGCCACCATGCAGCTAGGAACCTGCAAATCCAGCAAGCCATACATCCAGTAGACCCTCTAGACATCCAGATGGACAACCACTGGACATCCAAACAAGCTGAGGGGCTGGTTGAGGGCCACTCGATGTCACCCTTAGGCTCTCAGCCCTCGCTGAACAACACCCAGATCACACAGCCCACCTCCTCCACAGGTAACCCCATGTGGAGGAGTCATACATTATGGGCCCTGTGGCTTTTGGGGGGGTAGTAGATGCTGCAGTTTACACCTGGTGTAAACATGCATGTCATATGTTTTTCTGTGTAATTGGATTTCGGGAGTAAAATATACAGTGGTGTGAAAAAGTGTTGGCCCCCTTCCTGATTTCTTGTTTTTTTGCATGTTTTTCACACTTTAATGTTTCGGATCATCAAACGAATTTAAATATTACACAAAGATAATGCAAGTAAATACAAAATGCCGTTTTTAAATGATGATTCCATTTATCAAGGGAAAAAAGCTGTCCAAACCTACGTGGCCCTACGTGAAAAATTAATTGCCCCCTCCTGTTAAATCATGAAAGAACTGCAATTAACCACATTATTTTAGAAAGCTGAGTTAAATTTCACTAGCCACACCCAGGCCTGATTACTGCCAGACCTGTTGAATCAAGAAATCACTTAAATAGAACCTGTCTGACAAAGTGAAGCATGCTTAAAGAGCAACACATCATGCCGCGATCTAAAGAATTCAAGTTTGTTATTGGTCGATATTGTATGTTTAATATGCATGCTCTTTCCTCTGTTTTTACATTTAGATTGCCTTTGCCAGCATCTGCTGTAGCACTTAAAGTAAATCTTTAAAAAGACTAAATTAATAACAGTTAAAAAAAAATTTTGGCATGAAAATAATTATCATAATCGGCCAGAATTTTAATAGTAGTGAATCCTTACTAGTATTTATTGCTGTTCACTTTTGGCTGGATTAATCGAGATGAATGTTGCCAGGTGTAAAGGAGATTGTTGTATGTGCGATTGCTTTTCAATGTGAACTTTCTCTGGTTTCATCCACAATAGCATTTAGCATGCTTATTGTACTTTCTACAATCTTTTATCTTGCTTTAATACTTTTTATATATATCACACTTTGTCATTGCTGTGACATTATTTTGACCTTTTACGGGTTGACATATTTGTTCTCCTATATTTTGTCCTTATATTTCACTTTATCAAGATTGTGGATATTGGGGCATTCCTAACTAAGTATATGCCACTTTTTCGGTTAATTTCTTTGATTTATTCATGAATGTTTGAGTTTTTATTTTTTGTTGTGTCTTTGCATTTCATGTACTTGTTCCCATTCTCATTTTCCATTGGTTTAATTGTAGCCCCCACCCACAAAGCCATGCGTCATGAGACTGTCAGAGCCTGGTTGGACTCGATGTCTGGAGGTAGAGAAGAAAACAAGACCAGCAACTTATATTAGTGCCTAATACATACACACATCAGTGCATGGCAATACTATTGAACACTTAACACCACTGCAATCATTGTTGAACATTGATTGCATGTTAAAACATCACATTCAAATACAAGTTGATGCTACTGCATGCTGGAGTGGCGAGACAGTGTTTGGTGTGATAGCTATTATCCTTCAGCTTAATCCAAACACACTGACTAATGCATGCATTTCACATGTTTCCTTAAGCGTTCTTCTGAAATAATACAAATTATAAAATGTACTTAAAAGTAAAACCAGAGTACAGACTGTTAAATAAAGTCATATACACAAGTATATTGTTCCAGGATGCGTGTGGTGCATCTGTGGAGGACACAAAGTGCTTGTTGTGACATAATTGCAAGGCACTTCATCTGTACAGCACAAGGCCACAGAGAGGTCAAAACCAAAATTAACTAAAAACATTTCTGAGTTTTTTTGTGGTACAGGGAGCGGACACACAAAAGATACAATAGCCTTGAGCATGTCACAGATGTGCAAGAAGGAAATAGACTGAAAAGGTTGCATACTATTCTGAGGCTTGCAAAAAATCTCTACTCAAGTTCAGAACTTTTGTCTGAATTATATCGTTAATTAATTAAAAAAGTGGTGGTGTGTGGAAGGGGGTGTCTCAGCTAAATCTCCCTCTTTATTTATGTTTGTAATGTTCAGTTTGGTGTCATTGCATTTCATTCACAACTCTTTACTCACTCCTTCTCAACAGCTGCTGATTTTGAGCCCAGTCCATTTGACTGTATTGTAAATGGATACTTGCATGTGTTTAAATACTAATCCCATTTGTTTATTTCTACATTTTGTCATGTGCACTCATTGTACTGTATGCTTACTTTAATGTTCCCTCAAGACCATCGTTTATTAGCAACATGATTAATACATTCTGTGCTTGTTTTTGCACACATTCATTATTTAGCTGTTTTGTGTTACTTACACCTTGTGCTCACGGAAGATCTTCTAATAGTCATGAGTATAGTTTAACCGTTTTTACCTTTTCTTTTAGACTTTTGCCCAACATATTCAGCTTATTTTTCTTCTCCTGTGATCCCAGAGCCCTGTGAAGAGGATGATGACCCAGAAGCAGAAGCAAGCAGTCCTGACTTTGAGCCAGGCACTGAAATAGATCAAGGTTTGTCAAGTCCATTTTTCTATTTACTTGCTGTGATATCATTATGCCTTCAGAAAGGTTACAGAGTTAACCGTTAGAATTTAATTAACTGAAAACACCTTTCACTCCTTTCCTAAATAAAATTAGGTTAACAGATTTGACATTTAAAGATAATCCCCTGCTGCCAAATATACGATACATTTGTTTTATGTAAATTAGTTACATTCAGTTGTCCTTGAAAGGATTATGTTTACAAAAAAGCTTTCCTTTTTGTAATTTATTTTGATTATTTAAAAAGACTAAATGGGGTTGACACATTGAATACATTGTCTACGGAAATTAATACAGACAAAATGGTTGCTTTTAAAATATGTATTTCCATGTATTTTAAACAGGCTTTCACGCTGTTTTAATTTGTTTAATGTCACAGAGGACATTCCCTCAGATGCAGAGGCTGAAGCTCGTTCAAGTTGCATAGATGAAGTGGTGATGCTTCCAGTGGATAATGGCAAAGCAGAGAGCCAGGGAGATGTTTCTAACACTGGTAATCATAACCTAATCATAATCATATAAATTCATGCCTTTTCCATTTCGGTTTGAGACTGATGATTGCAAATGTTCATGCACTTGCATAACTTGAGTCTCTGAACACATTGCATCAATGTCTTGCTTCATAATTATGCAGGCTTTGATGATTAAAATCTCAACACAAGGGGATTTTCTATGTCCATCAATATTTGAGCCAATTTAATTTTTCCTCGCAGAGAAAACATCTGCAAATCCGAGGGAATTGATTGTGGACGTTGTGCTGTCTCCAATCCAAAAACCTGCTTTACCCATTGATAAGGTAATACGGGGTTGTGGGATCAAAATGTCTTAGACCTCACTTTTTTGCTTGGTATTTAAAATGACAAAAGTCTCTGCATACTATAAAATTCTACCATTCGTTTTCTCTTTCTACAGGTGAAAGAAGTTTCTCCTGTTATTCTAGTTAAATCTCCTGGTGCACGGTTTTTCCCTGAGCCCTATCTACCTGATAATGTCAAACCGAAAATTCCCCTTGATGCTAAAAGTCCCCATTCTCCTGTTGCTCAAATTGTTGCGCCCATCTGTTCCCAACCTGTTTCACAACCAGAGACAGCGAATCCCAAATCTCCTGTCCAGCCCGAGCCTTGTGCCTGCTCTCCAACAAGTAATCCTTTATCTCCAATATGTACCCAATCACAACCCTGCCACGAGCCACCCTCACCCCTCTCCACAAGCTCCCCTGTCAGGACTCAGCCAGTCCCAGCAGTCACCTCCACTCCTAAACCTGCTTCTGAGAAGAGAACCAATGAACCCTTGAAAGATTCAGTGCCTGAGGAAACCCCCGTCAGGAAAACAGACCTCATTGAGGAGTTCTGGTTGAAGAGTGCAGAGATCAGAAAGAGTTTAGGACTCACTCCTCTGGAAAGAAGCAAAACGACAGTGGAGAAGAGCATTGTGAAAACTCCAACGTCTGAATCATCATCTCCAAAGTCTTACACCCCAGAGGACTTTTCTGAAGAGCAGAAGCCTACTTTCACAGGCCGTTCTATCATACGCAGAATTAACATTACCTTGGAGGGTCAGGTTATATCTCCGGTGGAACCTAAGAGTAATGGTTCTGAGAAGAAAGACTTGAGCAGCAGTTCTGGGTTGGGTCTTAATGGAAGCGTGACTACCAGTCAGACAGCAGCTAGTGACAGCTACAACAACTCTGATTCTACCATGCTAACCCCTCCTTCCAGTCCCCCACCACCTCCACCTAATGAGAAGCCAGCTTCGCGCCAAAAAAAAAGACCTCAGGTGTCCTGGGACAACCTCTTTGAAGCCACAGAGGAACCTAAACCTGAGACTACACCCCCTAAACCGAAGACTCCAGTTAGTCCTCCTCAACCAAAACCAGTTACGGCTCCAGTTCCAGACCCTAGAACTAACCCACCTGTTGTTATGAGGGTAAAGGAACCGATTAAACCACGCCGTGAAGAAGTGAGAAAGTCTTTTGTGGAGTGTGTAGATGAGATCCCATTTGCTGACGACGTTGAAGACACGTACGATGACCGCACTCCAGACACAAGTGGTCTGGAAAACTTTTCCACCCCGCCAACCAGCAAGGTCAACCGGGAGAAACCGCCTTTGCACTTGGCTCTGGCAATGGAAAATGGCAAGCCCAACATACCTGGTGGGGTTTCCCGGACAGCAAAGGGTCCCCAAGATTTTTCTCCCGAAGCCAAGGAGATCGCAGAAGAGCGAATGCGGGCACGGGAAAAGTCTGTGAAGAGCCAAGCTCTAAAGGACGCCATGGCCAAGCAGCTTACTAAGATGAAAGAATCAGATGCTGCCAAGGGTGCTGTGGCAAAAGTAGCCTGGAATGTTCCTGAGACAACAAAGAAAAACAAAAAGCAATCAAACACACCCAAGGACTCTGCAGTGAAGGCTTTGGAGTCCAAAAAGCAGACAGACACACTACCTGACCGTGTCTTCACCACACAAACCAGTAAGAACTTGGACAGTTCTGTCACATCTTCAGAAAGCACAACAGGAGGCAAAAGCAAGAAGCGCAGCTCACTGTTTTCTCCACGGAAGAACAAAAAGGAAAAGAAAGCCAAAAATGAAAGGCTCTCTGGCACAGAAGAGACTCCACCCAAACACAAGTCCCTGTGGAAGACGGTGTTCTCTGGTTACAAGAAGGACAAAAAGAAGAAAGACGGCAAGTCATGCCCAAGCACACCTTCAAGCTCTACAACTGCAGACTCAGGGAAGAAGAAAGAATCACCACTGGACAGGTCCTCAGGTCAGCTAGAAATGTTTCATTTGAACAGCTCCCCCTTTGTCAGAATTCGTCATTATCTATGCTAGCTCTGTTCCAAAATCTAGTGTGAATCCTAAATAGCCAGCTCCTTTTCAAGACAGCATCAAAACCTTCATTGAACCTCATTAGTGACCATTTTGGAATGCTCCACGTGGTTGGATTCAACTCGCAAATTATTTCATTGGATAATGTAGTGATACCTTTAACAAGCATGAAAGTACATTGCACAAAATATTGTGTAAATATGCTTTTTTATATATACATTGAGCTAGGATTATTAATACTTCATGGTGTTGATTGAATAATTTGTTGCTCTATAATCAACTTCTTGCCTCATCCAAAAATTTGGATTTGTTTGCTTCCTTTAATTGTCACAGTGGGTTTCCCTTTTTTCACAAAAAGTATATTTGTGATGCAACTTTAGAATTTGGTGACCAATAAAACGGCTCACTTCAGACCCTCATGGGTTACGTTCAAATCTTGCAGAATTTTGCTAAGTTTATTTAACTTACACATTTTCTCAAAGTCTCTTTCAACTGGTGATTTTCTTAAGCAAAGTTCTCTCTAATTTACTGATGTAGATTTACGTCTGAGGAGAAATCTCAGCTTTTCTGAGGATTCTGATCTCTCCTGTGACGATGTTCTGGAAAGATCCTCTCAGAAGTCCAAGGGTGATGTAAGTATATAATATTTAAAGAGCCTCTTTTTTCATTCGAGTCAAATGTATGTTTTTTTTTCTGCAGTCTCGAATTGTAATGAAATCTTTTACTCTTCTCAGAGCCATGTGGACCTGTTTGACTTGGTATCAGATTTTAAAAAAAGGCAATTAAAGAGGAGAAATCCAAAGAGAAGGATAAGGACAGGGCGAAGGAAAAAGGAAAAAGAGTAACAGAGAAGGGCAAGGAAAGGTCAAAAGAGAAGGAGAATGAAAGAAGAGTCAAAGAAAAGATTGTGAAAATAAAGGATGTGCAACAGGAGAAAGGAAAAGAGGAAATGGTATTTGTGATGTATTGCACAGCAGCTAGAAGCTACTGGGTTTCAGACAGAACATGAATGCAACACTATGCCAAAAAAAAACCAGTAAAACCATGTTAAAATGCATTAAAATATATTGTACAGCATTCTGTTTCATTCATAACCTGTAAGAAATTAAGTATCTTTAGCTTTGCTGTGTTTGTGTGAAGGTGAATAGAGAGACTGGAATAGAGAATAGAGAGTGGAATAGAAAGTGTAGAAGAACAAAAAATCATAGTGTCCACCAGAATTCATAGAATTAAAAAAAAAAGTTATATTAGGCACTTTTAGAGTGCAGTGTTCATTTGTCTTTCATAACTAGCCTAGTTGTGGATATGAAGCTGTGGTCGTGACACAGGTAGTTTGTGTTGCTGATGTTATTGTTTTTTTTTAAAGAGTTCTGTTTGTCCAGATGATTATTTTTTGTATTATTTTAGTTTAGTGTTGTTTTTTCAAGACAAATTTGCCTTTGGTGAAGTCACTGATTCAGTAATGTTTTAGTATGTACTCTTACCCTCTAATCCAAAGGTCCAAAATTAACTTTTTACCACACTTGCAAATGGTGGGTGAAAATGTTTGGCCATAGGTGTTTTTTTATTTTTTTATATTCCTTTTCTTACTAGTTTTGTTGGTTAATGTTTTGTTGGTGATGAATATTTCATGTACTGTCTGTAGCCAAGTTTCCATCCAGTTTTTGCGCTGTTTTGTTATCGACAAAGAGAATATGTGTAAAGAAACTTTGCAAAAATTGCTGTCTACAGACTGTTTCCGTCCAATTGGCCTTTTACTGATAAAATGGTGTGCGTGATGACGACGTCATCCCTAAAAACACGAATTGTCGCATAAGTTTTGGTGTATCGCAAAAAAAAAAAAAATTGCCCTTGAGCTGTTTCCATACATAATTTCACCTATTGCGTAAATTATATAGGCTAGTAGCCTGTTCTTCATCCATTTGAAACAAAACTTTATTATATAGCCTATTATTAAATTGTATAGGCCTGCATAAAATTATTTTTAACAAGTGTCATGAGTTTTTTTTTTTTTTTTACTTTGTTATAGACTATTTAGATACTTGATCATCAAGCATTAATCATAAATAGGTGCAGTTGTATTAGTTTATTTTTCTGATTAACTTTGAGGAAATGTTCATTTCGGTTATTTCTCCTAACCAACATCCGACAGTCGTTAAGCCATTATTATTAAATTATTATATTAACATATTACAATTAAATTAAATTTGAATTGATACGCTGTGACCCAATAAAAATACCTAAATTTGTTTTCCTGGGATTCATCTTATGCACGCAAAAAGCAGCATAAACAGCAGAACGTGAGGATTCACATGGTCACGTCTTGCACCTGCAGCGCTTCTGCGAACGGAGAAAAACATAATAAAGCTGAGAATAGAGAAATAAATAGGCCTATATGCGAAATATATTTTTCTAAATAATAAATTAAAGGGGTCATCGGATGCCCATTTTCCACAAGTTGATATGATTCTTTAGGGTGTTAATGAAAAGTCTATAACATACTTTGGTTAAAATTTCTCAATGGTAGTGTAAAAAAAACACCCTTTTTTTGTCAAAATCAGCTTTGTTTTCAGCACGCTGTTCTAGTCCATGTTGCTTTAAATGCTAATGAGCTCTGCTGACCCCACCCCTCTCTTCCGTGGGGTGATGAGCAGACTGGCTAACTAGCACATTATTAGGAAAGGCGATTTGCAAAGATTCATAAAAAAACCTTATACTCACATCTTCTGTAGATGAAGCTGGAACACGAATGATTCGCACGAACATAAACGCATTTAGGCAGATCGGAGATTGGCACATCCCCTTCAAAAACGAATGTAACGTTAATCCTCTGCGTCTTCAGCGGCTCAGATGTCAGGAGTAAATGACGACTGCTATGTTCATTATTACATTTAACAACAAAACATCTCAATCGCTTAGGACACATTCTTGTCTTCCCCTGCACCATTGTGTCGACACAATGGCGGACAGCTCACAGGCAGCTCACTCGGGGCGGGTCGAAGGTAAGACGGCCTTGTCAATCAACTATCGTGGGAGGGGCCTGTGCAGAACTACGTCATTCTGACAGGAATTTCAGAAACAGCCTGATTTGAGAAAGGGGATTTTAAAATAGGGATTTAAAAAAAAACACTGGGTGGATTTTTATCATTATTGGGTGGATGTGTACACACACTTCCAACACACATTTATGTTCAAACAACAACAAAAGTGAATTTTGCATCCGATGACCCCTTTAACAAAACAAAAGAAAAAAAAAACAACAATTAGCAGCCTAAATGCAGAATTTCGGCTCATTTTTGTGATGCGCTCTTGAGAAAGCGGCATCCTGTTTGTTTCCTTTATTTTACAAAAGCACAATGTTTTGTTTTTATTGTGAATGTACACAAATAAAGGAATATTTAGAATAGTTTTGAATAATGTCTTACTCTCATATGACCACAAATGAAGGAATATAGTAACACCGTGGCTACACCGGACGCAACAGTTGCCGCGCCGCTCACGTCCGGTGTAGACATGTTGCAAGTTGTTTCCACTTTTATAAGGGAAAAAAACCACAAGTGATCATGCCGGCGCCTCACTCTTGCAGTTAAGCATTATTAACTCGACAACGCAGCCTGTTCATTGTCATAATAAAATATAGTCAGCCAAACATTGAAAACCATGCTATTTTAGTTCCCCTCACTGCACAACAAATACTTTAAATTTAACGGTAGAACAGAACTCAGAACAAAACAAAAATAAAAAATAATATAAGAAGCTACTAACAAGCCAAAATAAATTAATTAAAAATTTTGTACTTTGCGTTCCAATATCCACGTAAAACAAAATGTGCTTGGCATAGTAATATCACAGGCTATTTAAACTGAGCAGTGCACTCTAAAAAATAACGAAAACGTAGGCTACTAAAGGAACATCAAATTAAGATAAGAATGTTTGAGAGGTAACTTGTCTTTTTCTTAACAAATATAAATTAATTTTAGATGCAATTTAATAATATGAATATGATTTAATGCGCTTTTGATCTACAGGGAAACGGTGCTTTAACCTGAGCAACACCATGAACATGGACGCTGCCTATAGGCTAATTCTGCCATGTGACACTATATTTATTTGCGTTAAAGCCCCTTTTCTCGACAAAAAGTGTTTCCAAACAATTTTTTGGCTACATTTAAAGTATCGATATAGAATTTATGAGCTAAAGTTAAACGGAAAAAGATAATGTCGACACATGAGAAATTTTTTCGATAAATGGCATTTCCATCAGCTATATTGGTAACAATTTTGAAGCGCTAAATATTTTTTCGTACAAAAACCTTGGATGGAACCCGGGCTTGTTGCCACATGAGAAGAATTTTGGTTGGCGGATGTTAATTTTGGACCCGGAGTATAATTGTGTTGCACAAAACATGGTCACATTAATTTGTACTTTTGCACTCATCCCAGCATCCTTAAATGTTAAGTCTTGTGTTTGTGTGTTGCCGTAGAATCCTGATTTTGTTTAATTGTACATTAACCCATCTAATCGCATAATATTTGTTTTGTTTGTTTTCTTTTTTTAATTTCTTTTTCTAAGTCTGTTTATGTACCTCATGCATTGGTGTTCAAGAGATCGTATGCCACAAAGGTACTATGTTCATTCATTCCCATTGGTCTACCAGTTTTACGCATGTCATATCACACCGTCATGCCTAACCCCTTATTGTTGGTCCGAATATGTTTGCTTTATTGTATTACTAACTGTTTTCTGCAGCATGGTGAAGGCTAAAGCGCCCCCTTTCTGCTGGAGGATGTAACTGTATCACATAACATTCTCAAAAGGCTTTTTGGCTGTTTACCTGCATACTATTTTCTATATTGTGTACCTCACTGGTTTACATGCAACTTGTTTTTCTTTCATAGCTTCTACTATACTTTCTTAAAGAATCTCTCCAGTCAATATTTTTTTTCTATTTCTGTCTTACACTTTATGACAATTTATTGGCTGTGTGCAATATATCAATGAAATGCACAGACAACTCTGTCTATCTATCTATCTATCTATCTATCTATCTATCTATCTATCTATCTATCTATCTGTCTATCTGTCTCTCCGCTTCGTCCAACAATACTACAGCAAGAATAAAAGTTGCACCTTCTTTCTTTGCGTGAACATTTGGGCGGCGTTATGCAAATCTTCCCACATTGTGATGTAGATATGTGGGGGCGTGTTAGAACGAGCCGTTTTAGGTAGGAGTGGCTGACTCTTAACTTTTATAAAGAATATCTCTTTGGATTTGAGACTTTAGTCTTTGCAACTTTACAGATCTTTATGCACCAAGAGCTTGTAACACTGCAAAGAGAAAGGAAAAATTGAAATCGCATCATATGACCCCTTTAAAAGAATGTAAAATTGTTTATGCATCATTTTCCTTGTGATTAAAAGCCATTTCGTTAACTTGGGTTAGTTAGTATTGTTAGTATTCATAGTAAAGTAATGCCTTTTTTTTACATTAATTTTGCTAGAAGCTTTTATCTCATTACTAAATTTATAACACTCTGTCGGGTTCCACACTGACATAACATTAGAATTACATTCAGAATTCCCATGGTTATGGAAAACCTGGAAATGTCAGGGAATTTTAAAATTGTGATTTCCAGGCCTGGAATAGGCACTTATAATTATTAAAACATTGGAAGTCATGAAAAAGTCATAGACATTTTGGTAGTGAATGTCTTTTTTCTAGTTATGCTCAGCTCTAAATAATTCATATGCCAGAATTGCTTTTTGAGCTCTCCAGTTGAGCTGCAAATGAATCTCAAGGCATTTTTCATTTTCCTGGACACATTTTTACATTTATTTAAAAATTATTAGTCCAAGGATTTGTACCTGACATACAATTGGATCTGCCCCTGCAATCACTGTAAAATAGCTTTTTTTTATCCCTATTCACTAGAAGTCTTCAAGAGTATTTTTAAGTCTTAAGTCTTTATTTGAAAATGTAAATACGGAGGGCTAGAGTGAGGAACGGCCGGAGGGCTAGAGTGAGGAACGGCGGATTTGACGAAGGAGCATCCGGAGGGCTTGCGGCAACAACATGTGACGACCCCCGGACTGAACTCCGCTTCGTCCAACAATACTACAGCAAGAATAAAAGTTGCACCTTCTTTCTTTGCGTGAACATTTGGGCGGCGTTATGCAAATCTTCCCACATTGTGATGTAGATATGTGGGGGCGTGTTAGAACGAGCCGTTTTAGGTAGGAGTGGCTGACTCTTAACTTTTATAAAGAATATCTCTTTGGATTTGAGACTTTAGTCTTTGCAACTTTACAGATCTTTATGCACCAAGAGCTTGTAACACTGCAAAGAGAAAGGAAAAATTGAAATCGCATCATATGACCCCTTTAAAAGAATGTAAAATTATGTTTATGCATCATTTTCCTTGTGATTAAAAGCCATTTCGTTAACTTGGGTTAGTTAGTATTGTTAGTATTCATAGTAAAGTAATGCCCTTTTTTTTACATTAATTTTGCTAGAAGCTTTTATCTCATTACTAAATTTATAACACTCTGTCGGGTTCCACACTGACATAACATTAGAATTACATTCAGAATTCCCATGGTTATGGAAAACCTGGAAATGTCAGGGAATTTTAAAATTGTGATTTCCAGGCCTGGAATAGGCACTTATAATTATTAAAACATTGGAAGTCATGAAAAAGTCATAGACATTTTGGTAGTGAATGTCTTTTTTCTAGTTATGCTCAGCTCTAAATAATTCATATGCCAGAATTGCTTTTTGAGCTCTCCAGTTGAGCTGCAAATGAATCTCAAGGCATTTTTCATTTTCCTGGACACATTTTTACATTTATTTAAAAATTATTAGTCCAAGGATTTGTACCTGACATACAATTGGATCTGCCCCTGCAATCACTGTAAAATAGCTTTTTTTTATCCCTATTCACTAGAAGTCTTCAAGAGTATTTTTAAGTCTTAAGTCTTTATTTGAAAATGTAAATACAGTGGTGTGAAAAAGTGTTGGCCCCCTTCCTGATTTCTTCTTTTTTTGCATGTTTGTCACACTTTAATGTTTCAGATCATCAAACAAATTTAAATATTAGTAAAAGATAAACACAAGTGAACACAACATGCAGTTTTTAAGTTTTTATTATTAAGGGAAAACAAAATCCAAAACTACATTTTCACACCACTGTATATGTGTATATACACATTAGAAAGATATTTTTTTCAAACATTGCAGAAAATATTGCAAAAACTGCAGTATATAATGCTTCTAATAAATCAAATAAAGGTATTACAAAATTAACGTTTTGACAATACCACGGCTGTTCTTATATTCTATTTTTTCTGCATTAAATTGCATATGACAATCCTTTTGATGTGTGCTACAGTAACAGCTGAGAGAATTACTAGAATCTATTTCATTATTGGATTCAAAGAAAATGGTTTCCTGTTGCAAAATGTGAACAGATAATATTAACAAAATCAAGTAGCTGTAGCTGTAACAAACTAAAATTTCTGAAGTTGATTTGTAATTTCCAGACAGTAGGGTAATTATAGGCAGTAAAAGAAAAATTCTGAATTATTGCCTCCTCTCTCACCTCCCCCTCTCCCCTCCATCCCATCTTTTATATCTAGTGTTTCTTAATCTCTTTTTATCCTTTACTCTCTCTAAGGGTTGTACACTCTCTCTAGTGTTAGTCCAAAACAGCGTAAGAGGCGCTCAGGTATCCATGATAATAATTCTAGTAGTTGTTGTAGTCGTCTCAGCGTATCGTGCCATTCTCATGCCGAACATCGTCTCTCCTCACGCGTGTCTCAACTGCATGCCCCGTCAATCCGATCACTCCAAACATAGATTTGTATGCTGCATCACTGGATGTGAGCCACTATAAATTTAAAAGTATTATAGGCTGTTTCTTTGATTTTGGATCTATATCATTCCGTTTTGTGAATCCTAAAGCATCCCAAGTCATCTGCTAAATGCTATATTCATGTTTTGTTGTTTAGCATAACACATATTCACAGGCCGTACAGATTATCTCTAGCATTTAGGGTTAAAATGCTTGATATACATTGAATAAAAGGAGTTTTAGATAGACAGATAGGGTTTTAGATACAAAAACATACTCGCACTCCAAAATCTGTTGTGTCCCTTGTGGCAGAACACAGCAGTGCAACAAATCTATGTGCTCATCTACCATTACAGGACATGCAATATAAATGCAATTAACTACGTGTTTACATGCCAAATAACAAGTGTGAGTAGTGTGTATTTGGCATACCTTACTGTGTGAGCGTGTGTGTTTGTGTGCAACATGTGCATGACTTGAAGCTACTGGCTGTGCCTGTGTGTGCAGTAACATGTTTCTAATATATCCTTATTATAGACTATTGGGGAGAGTCTAATTACAGTGAGATCCTGGATTTGCATCTGGGCGGTATGTATTTCAAATCTGTTGCTTGAAATGGACTAACATCTGACGCCCTTTCTTTTCCCCCTTTACTTACGGAGTCTTCCCTCTGCCTAAATACTCTGTCATTTTATCCTGCTTAATGTTAATTCACTTTATGTAATTTATACATTTTACGAAATGTTTATAGTTGTATTTTAAATAGTATTTAAGATTTTATTTTAAGAATGAATTATTATTAGTTATTTATATTTTCTTACATATACCGGTTTCATTTTTAATGATTGTATCATTTTTATAAACTATATTATTACATGTAATAAACAATTTTTTTTAAGTGGCAATCATTAGAATCAAAGCAAAAATATATTATTTCGTATCAGTTTTTGCTCAAAAATTGCCCGCTTGCAAATGGCCCTGGCATTATATTTGCTTTCAGTTTGAATCTTAGTTTTCAAACTAAAAATGTGCTATTAATATACAGCAGCATCTGAAATCCTAAATGCTTAAACAATCAAATAAATCTTTGCAATCCTGATTAAGCCCTCCCCTCTAGCCTTTTGTAGAGCCTATGGCTGTCTGCTTTACCCACCAGCACATTAGCTTTCATATTTTCCTCCCATACCTGCTCAGTTGTTGCATAGGGACCCCGGGCCCCGAGAGATCCCAGTGTTCAGTGCATCATTCCTCATTGCGATTGATCATGTGTGGTTTGTCTTCACTGTGTTCCCTAACCTTATATCTCACGCTGTGGATCTGTTGAGTGCTTGTTTGAATGAGTGTATTGTCTTGTGGCGTTTCGTTGATCACACTGTGAAGTTCCAGGCAAGCCATGCCGAGATCACCCAAGCAGACAGGAGATAGCGTGGAGCGCTGTTTGTGATGGTGTATAAATTACCCATTGTTTTTAAAGGACATTGAGGCATTGTTTAAATCATCTTATGAATCTTTTTCAATGCAACAAGATGTTTCTTAAACGTAGCATGCCAAAAAGCTATTGGAAGGTAACAAGGGTTATTTCAGGTGGTAGTCTTTACATGTGCTAAGAAAGAGTATTGTTTAATTAGGAAACCCAGGTAAGTAAAACATATGCACATTTTATAAATGTTCTAGTAAATGGTCTCAAGACGTTGATGGAAAAAGCATTTGAAATCCAAAAGCAAGCTAAATTCACCAAAGTTCGTATGACTTCTGTTTGGCGTTTTAATGCTGCAACCCCATAATTGCTTCTTGTGGCTACATTTTCTTTCATTTTTGTAACAGTTGCACAGAGATTAAGTGGCTAATATGTGAGCTGTTCGCTTAGATTGATTTTCCTGTAAAAGTGAGTTTTTTCATCGCAAACTAGTTGGTGGCGGACCTGCTAATAGTTGGAGGATTTCTTGTAATCCGAGCCCAAAAACACTTTGCATAATTACTGTCAGCGTTCTGAGGCCTAAGCCATCTCTTGGCAGGAAAACTTGGTTGTCTTATCCAAAGCAATATAGTTGTCCCCATTTGTGTAGCCAATTAAAAAAAACTTCTGAAAGCTTTTGTTGATTTCTGTGTAACTTTGCATCAGTGTGCGTTTGTTTATGGCCTGTTTTCCGTGGGTCGTTTCCATGCATGTCTGCATAAGAATGTGAGCTTGTTGCTTTTCATGGATAATTAGTTCCCTGATTCTTCCCATAATTGCAGAGGATGAGCCAGCGATATGAGATGACACTGTTTAAGACGAGTACTCGGTGCATGTTAGACTGAAACAGATCCTTTCAATGAAATGCCCCTTTTAATGTTTATTTGCTTTGTATGTGTTGATGAGGTCAGAATAGGGGTCACTTATGTAGAATAGGAAACTAAATATGTCCTCAGCCTTCACATAAGACGGTGTTGTATAAGTGCTGATTAGTTTCTGAATGCAGACAAGGTCGCAGTCGAGCTTTCGAGGGTTGCGTTGACAAACTCCTCTGCGATAGTCCCTTGTTGTGAATTACACGACATCTCATCCAATTGGTTCAGCATTTTAAGACCATTCTGTCTTCCCAGGGTGGTAGTCTTTACATGTGCTAAGAAAGAGTATTGTTTAATTAGGAAACCCAGGTAAGTAAAACATATGCACATTTTATAAATGTTCTAGTAAATGGTCTCAAGACGTTGATGGAAAAAGCATTTGAAATCCAAAAGCAAGCTAAATTCACCAAAGTTCGTATGACTTCTGTTTGGCGTTTTAATGCTGCAACCCCATAATTGCTTCTTGTGGCTACATTTTCTTTCATTTTTGTAACAGTTGCACAGAGATTAAGTGGCTAATATGTGAGCTGTTCGCTTAGATTGATTTTCCTGTAAAAGTGAGTTTTTTCATCGCAAACTAGTTGGTGGCGGACCTGCTAACAGTTGGAGGATTTCTTGTAATCCGAGCCCAAAAACACTTTGCATAATTACTGTCAGCGTTCTGAGGCCTACGCCATCTCTTGGCAGGAAAACTTGGTTGTCTTATCCAAAGCAATATAGTTGTCCCCATTTTTGTAGCCAATTAAAAAAAACTTCTGAAAGCTTTTGTTGATTTCTGTGTAACTTTGCATCAGTGTGCGTTTGTTTATGGCCTGTTTTCCGTGGGTCGTTTCCATGCATGTCTGCATAAGAATGTGAGCTTGTTGCTTTTCATGGATAATTAGTTCCCTGATTCTTCCCATAATTGCAGAGGATGAGCCAGCGATATGAGATGACACTGTTTAAGACGAGTACTCGGTGCATGTTAGACTGAAACAGATCCTTTCAATGAAATGCCCCTTTTAATGTTTATTTGCTTTGTATGTGTTGATGAGGTCAGAATAGGGGTCACTTATGTAGAATAGGAAACTAAATATGTCCTCAGCCTTCACATAAGACGGTGTTGTATAAGTGCTGATTAGTTTCTGAATGCAGACAAGGTCGCAGTCGAGCTTTCGAGGGTTGCGTTGACAAACTCCTCTGCGATAGTCCCTTGTTGTGAATTACACGACATCTCATCCAATTGGTTCAGCATTTTAAGACCATTCTGTCTTCCCAGCCATGCAGAGCACAAAGAATTGTACAAGGATCTGCCTTTTAATTTGCTCCACTGGCGAAATCCTTTAAGGTCTCTGCACACTGAGTCTGAATTTTTCGTCTGAAATTTTCGCACGTTGAAAAATAAATACGGCCTCACGTTGTCAATCACGTTTACACACTGCCTCCGAAACTTTCGTCCGTCATAAAAAAATTCAGACCAGGTTTCGATTTTCTGCGTTTTCGCATCCGTAGCAAGCATTTTGATAGGAAAGGATGACGAATACGAAAAAAAAAACGCATACGAAAATTTCGGACTCAGTGTGCAAGGACCTTTACTGTGGTGCCAATCATTCTTCTGACGTTCATTTGACACTTTTTTTTTTAATTTATTTTTTTTTTTTCTCTAGAGGTTTGACACCCGCCATATAGATGGCTGATTTCCACATCAGACGTAGTGAGAGGATTGAGAAATCCAGGAACATCCCCAAAGATGATATAATAATTCAACCTTAGCTCTTAAAATCCAAATTTTTCAGGAGAGCTACAGCTGCATACTGTACTTCTTTGATGTAGCCTGTGCAGACATTAGTTTTGCTCTCAGGCCGCCACTTCTTTGCCCTCAGTAGTGCACAGAAGGAAAAGTTCAAAGAGTAGCGTGATATTTCCCCTCTCTTCCTCAGTTCATTCATGTTTGCGCTCTGTCCCGTATCATTTCCCCCGCAATATGTCGCATCGCACTGCTGCTTTCAGTTTCTCCCCAGAGTTCTTTCTCTTTTTGATTTCGCTCCTCACTTTTTTTCTCTTCCACGTCTCTTTCTTTCTCTCCTCTTTCTTGATTTCACCCTTCTGGCCACCTCTGCCACTCTGCTCTCTCTCTCTCTCTCTCTCTCTCTGCTATTTCAGTTTCTCCCCAGAGTTCTTTCTCTTTTTGATTTCGCTCCTCACTTTTTTTCTCTTCCACGTTTCTTTCTTTCTCTCCTCTTTCTTGATTTCACCCTTCTGGCCACCTCTGCCACTCTGCTCTCTCTCTCTCTCTCTCTCTCTGCTATCTCTCTCACATTCCTTTCCTGTGTTGTGGAAGTTGAGCCCTATGTCAGGACCCCTCGCCGAAGAGCCCTGTACCTCTGCCCCTGCTGTGCCCCTGAAGGTAACGTAAACCCCGTCATGTTTGCTGCCGGCCAGCTATGTTACCATAACAACATGGCCAGCGGCGTCACTTTGACAATCCACTGGACCTGTGGAGTATTGCTTTTGCCCTTCAACTACAAAGTCTACTCCTCTCCCCTGCCCATGTGTGTCCAGGCTTAGCGGATTTCCCCCAGCAGATTGCGTCAGTGCTTCTGATGTACAAACACAAATTTGTAGCAGCAGTAGGGCTGGATGATATTTTTCAGGCCTTTTGCCAGTATTCGATTCCATATCTAAATGAATGCATTTGCTGCAAAATGTTATAAGACTGATATTTGATTTATTTCATTTTTAATTTCAGCATTTGATTTGATTTTGTATCACAAAGCATTTTTTTATTTAGTGGTGTTATTAATTAGAATTATTTATATCTAAAGAAAAAAAATCTTAATTTCTTAAAATTCGCAGTAGGGCTGGATGATATTTTTCAGGCCTTTTGCCAGTATTCGATTCCATATCTAAATGAATGCATTTGCTGCAAAATGTTATAAGACTGATATTTGATTTATTTAATTTTTAATTTCAGCATTTGATTTGATTTTGTATCACAAAGCATTTTTTTATTTAGTGGTGTTATTAATTAGAATTATTTATATCTAAAGAAAAAAAATCTTAATTTCTTAAAATTTTTGCCTAATCGCTTGTTTGCAAATGGTTTTGCCATTTTTTTAACTTTCGGTTTTAATGATAGTTTTGAAACTAAAAGTGTGCCAATAAAATGTAGCAGCACAAATCCAAAATGCTTCAATAGTCAGATGTAGCTAGCTGTAACAGATGTAGCATATTTTATTTTATTTATGTAGTTGCCAAATAGATTCAGTATGCTTTAAGCAAGAAGCAACATTTGAATTTTATTGATATGCACAAACATTGTAATAAACAGGAATACTATGTATTACATTTTAAAACTTGTGTATGTGCCATGCAAGGATTTTCATGAACAGTTGAACCAAATAAACTGTTAAATCAGCATTTGAGTCAGGAAATTTGAAAGAATTGATTCAGGCGAGGTAATCAAATTTGCCAGAATTGTATGCTATTAAAATTCTATATCAGCAACAAAAAATTTAATATGTGGTAAATGATTGGTATATCACCCAGCCCTCAGCAGTAGCAGCATACGTTAGGCACATATTTTGGCTTTACATATCAAGGTTCTACTTTTATTTTCTACACACTTTACTTTAGACTTCCTAAAGAGGATAAGCATAGCATGAAATGCGTTTTCAATTAGTACATTAGAGCAGACCTGATACAATGACAGACTGTGTTTTTTTGGGGGAAACTGCTCTGCTGACTGTAAGTGTGAATTTAAATAACAGCATGATTGTCGTTTGCTCTTCACGAGTTCTAAAACTGTCAGCGTTTTACCTGTCCCAACCTCACAGCTCCTTTACAGAGCTGTATCGTTTAATAACAGAAACAACTGATCAACCAAATAACAGAAGATCCAACAGTGCTTTTAACGTTTGCTTTAGTTCTTCTCAAAGCATGCGGCTTAAAAGTGCATCTGCTCATCCACACTCTCATGTTTGAGTGGACCGTCAAGCATAAACCAAACATTATGGTGCTTTAATGGCAGATGGTTCCTTGATGTCCATGTGTCACATCAAGGAATCCATTATCTTTGATCATCAAAGATTTTTTCAAAATACCTCATACAAACGTTACACTAGAACGGCTAGCAGCACCAGTCCGATTCGTGAACGAATCATTCAGAGCGGGTGTTGTGAACCGGTTCAAATGATTCATCTGAAAGATCCGACTTTAAAGGCTGAAGTTCACGAGTCTGTCTGTCATCGCTGAAGGAAACCTCTGGCTGTGAGAATGAACGTGTCGAGTTTCAGAGACTGCAAGGCAAGTTATGAATTGCGTTTACAATGTGTAATTCGCAGTGCATGCGTTTAACGGCAGCAACTTTTATGAGTTTTTCGAGATAATAAAAACTGCAAATCCGAACTCGTTACATAAATGTCTATATAAAAGTTAGCTGAACCCTGTTAGTGGCGTTTACTTAGTTAAGATCACTTTATTAAGCTAAACAGTGGAAGACAAAAACTTTGTAAACAATACAACCTACATAATACACGTTGTAAACAGTACAGACAATAAGTGCACAAACATGTAAAAGCTGCAGTTATTCATAAGAATAGGTTTCAGTTTGTAATTTGTCAGCAGTTTCTGTATCACAATAGATCAGTTTACTTGTTTAGAAGAAGTAAAGTTAATGTGTTTTGCATGTTCTGCACAGTATATTGCATTAGATATTGTATTAAATATTGCGTTGGGGGCACAAAACTAGTTCAAGCAATCTTACTAGGCCAACAAATTTCAATTACACTTCATACAGTGTATCATTTCTGTTGTGCATGTGTTGTCAGGCATGGAAATCAGAAGGTCTGCCCCTGTCCACCAGCAGTAATGAGGCCTGTAAACTATACGATGCTATACTGTCTCAGGTACATATGCATATGCTGATACTGATAACTGTGTGTATTTGTATAACTAACCTGAATATTTCTGTCTCTGGTGATCAGTATGTGTCCTGGCGTAATAATGAGACACTGGGAGGAATAGAAGGCTGTGTTACAGCCGTCAAAGCTGCAGACCCGGACTTTGGTATGTGATTGCAACACTGTCCATTGTAGTCCATTAAAAGCCATTGTAAAAGAAAAAAAGGTTGTAAATATTAAGTGGTTTCTGGATTTCAGCTGTGGTATTCTGCTATCACATTGTTTTTAAATCACCCCACAAGGATTTCTCACATAATATTTAAGTATTTTTGTGTTTATTTGGTAAGTAGCCATGTAATAAGTGTGAGAATGTGCATTCAGCTGGTCATTATCGCAAGATAAACTCCTTCACAGTGATACAAGCCAGTCAAGGCTTTCCTAAGTCCTCATTAGCGTCTTCTCTGTGCTGCAGTGATGGGTCATGTGATCTCTACTGGGCTGGAGTTGGTAGGAACAGGAAGTTCAGTCCTGCGGGACGAGAGATTGGCCAGCGCTGTGAGGAGGACTGTGGAGTTGGCCGACACTCAGGAGCTCACGTCTAGAGAGAGGAACCATGTGAAAGCCGTGGAGCTCTTCTCTAAAGGGTGAGTGCATGAGAACATTCAACAGGTGACATTATGAACGTTTCACATCTGCCCACTCAATAAAAGGATTTTCTGTATTTTTATGGCGATTTTGCAGCCAGTGTTGTAAATGGAGGTCTTTTTCTGATTCATTTTAAGCAAAGTTGCCTTCGGCCCACAAGCAGTTATGAATTGGTTCTTTTAAGATTCATGCTCACTTGTATCCTTGGGCAGAAAAGAGTGTGACTGTCATATGAAAGTTTTAGCCTGATTAAAATTCTTGAATAAAGAAACCTTCGTACAGACGTTTTCCAATCATTTCTGTTCTCAGCACTAATGAATTTGCTTTAGTAAAACCAAGAGTATTTTGTCAAAAGAGCACTTTTAACAGAGGGGTCGTTGGAGGTGGCTAATTTAATTTGAGTTTTTTTTACATTTTGGGTGGTAAAAAAAATTCTGATTTGAAAAGGACTGTCGTCAGAATAATTTTGACTTTAATACAGTGTTATCATAAACTAAAACTATTTAAAATCATATTCAGTCATTGAAATAAAGCTGAAATAAAATCTAAATATAAAACGAAAAAATTATAATTAGAAATGGTGAATTATTAGTAGTGCTGAGATGAGTTTAAGTTGAAGTACTAAAATTACATTTAAAAAAGGTAAATAGAAATATATATTTTTTAAATCCAAAACGGTTATTAAAACTTCAAATCAATTAAAATGAAAATATAAAAATAAAAGCTAATTAAACATGAAAAAATACTATAATAGTGTATACATGCTACTAAAAAAAACATACATTTGTAAATGTCAAATGAATTATGGATGAAGTAGATTGAATGGTGTGTTTCAGAGCCCTGCACAAGGCCTGTGGGGTTTGGGAGGGTGTTTTGGTGGATCACCCCACAGACATGCTGGCACTGAAGTTTGCACATGATGGATTTTTCTACCTGGGTGAACAGACTGAGATGAGGGACTCGGTGGCCAGGGTTCTGCCCCACTGGAAACCGCATATGCCGTTCTACAGGCAGGTGCCCGGCCAGTGCTCCACCAATGCTGTCTTGGAATGCATTTTACCATGTGATGAGTTGTGAATTACTTGTAAAATATATATTGTACTATAGTATATACAGTATTATGTTTTCATTGGATGTTTTCTGTTTTTTCCAGTTATCTTAAAGGGATGTATTCCTTTGGGCTTCTTGAGACTCATTTGTATGATGAAGCTGAAAAAATGGCAAAAGAGGTAGTTTTGATTAACTACATATTAAATTTATGTTGTTCATTAGTATTGCTCACTACTTTGTTATGGCACTATAATGTAAAAAATGACTAATTAAGCTATAATTCATGCATTATTAATTATGATTATATTCATATTTTATGTGATAAACCTCTTTTTCATGCAGTAGACATAGTAAATGTGCTGTTCTTGTCTTGCAAAACTGTTGAAAAAACAGAATATCAGATTTCAGTTTCACAAGTCCAATAAAATGTAGTGTACTGGACAATGAATATTTTATAGTTCCCCACACAGAAAATTAGAACTATTTAATTTCTTATATTTTTTATTTTTTACTTATAATTTTATACCAACAAACAAGTAAATAAACTTATATTTAAAGGTAATTACTAAAAGTATTTTCTGCTTTATAAATATCATTAACTGAATGCACCATTATTGTAATTCATTGTGCCTGCAGGCCCTGGCTCTGACCCCTGAGGACGGATGGAGTGTCCACTCTGTGGCTCATGTCCATGAGATGAAGGCAGAGATGGACAAGGGACTGGAGTTCATGGCCTCTACAGAGAAAGACTGGATGGTCAGAAATACCATCCAGAACATATAAAGATTAACATGTAGAAGCACACTGTGATTGTAAAGAAGATTGTAAAAACTTTGGTCATATAGTGTTATATCTCCCCTAAAGGTGTGTGACATGCTGGCATGTCATAATTACTGGCACTGGGCTCTATATCACATTGAAAAGGTAAAATTCTAACAACATGGGATGCAAAAAATGATTACTTTTTACTTTATTACTTTAAAACACATTTTTTCAAAACATTTATCCATGTGGAAAAATTCGAATTTTCTTTTCTATATATATATATATATATATATTTTGTATTTATTTATTTTTACCATTTTCATTTTTTTTCACACACACGTTAATTTTATTTATTTAGTCAATTGTTTTTTATCCACAGGGTAATTATGAAGCAGCTTTGAAGATTTTTGATGAGCAGGTCAGTGCTCTGCTGAGCTCTTGCCACTAACATTATATTTGCTAACAAAGAAGTGGCATGGTACTACGGTGGTTTCCAATATAATATTTTTTTCTGCGTATCATGGTAGTAGCATGGTATTCTTTGAACTGTCAATAACAAGGCACAGCATTCAGTGTATATCAAAGATAGTGGCATCTGATACCACCCGCAGTACCACCACAGTACTTATTTTTCAAGTGTATGATAAATTTTGCAGGCATGTAGTGAATGTAATTAGTCACACCAGAGGAGAAGTGTGAATCCTGTCATGTGTTCCATATGGAATGTGACGGATTCAGGCTGGGGAAAGTTGAACTGATGTAGACAGGAGCATATGGGTGTCAGGGCAAAATCTTTTGGCTACACTCTCTTGAATATATACTGCAGGGGCACACTCTCAACCGACCGTCAGTCAATGGAAATTAGAATATTGAAAGCTGTGAAACTAAAGTCTAAAGCAATTATGTAACTGATAATTCTTTATTTTGTAAAATCTTTATCTTGAATGGGAGGGTTGATGTGATGTGATCTCAGCAGGTGCATTTAGTCAGTCAAGTGAAGCCACAGCACTCTTTAGAAGAGCACTTTATATTTAGAAAGTTGTTAAAAATGTAGATAACACGCCTTAATAACTTTCATAAGCCATTAACAAACATTACATAACTTAAATCAGCTCAGTTATATAAATCCCAGTAGTTAAAGTAGTGTATTGTGATTTTACATGGCCAGACGTTTGAGACCACCAGAACCCATCTGTGCTTGTTGAAAATGTAATATTAATATGGAGTTTGGCCTCCCTTTGCTGCTGTATTTTCTTCCACACTTCTGTGAAGGCTTTCCATGTATGTTGGATCTTGGATGTGGAGATTTCCTTCCTTTCATGCATCAAGCATTTTAGGTAGTGATGTTTAAGTTCAGGTCAGGTCAAGTTATTTCATGAAATCATTCTAGTTTGGACATTTGTTTTTGCCAACTATGCTAGAAGAGAATGCATACACTGCATTATATTTAAAATGATGGCCTCTACATACTCTGTATGCTTGATTTTATGCACCTGTTCACAATGGATATAGCTGAAATCGTCAAACCTGTTGATTTTAAAGGGGCATCCATATTTATGGAATTAGTTAGAATTATCTGAATTATTCAGTATATGACTTAGTTTCGTGACCTGTCAAAGTCATTATATAATGTAATAATTTGAATGAAAATTGAGATTGTTAGTGGTAATGTGACATTTGAAACCTTTCTTCAGGTTTCTCGGCGCAGTGTGAAGTCTGGAGCCATGCTGGACGTCGTAGACTCTTGTTCATTGCTCTACAGACTAGAGATGGAGGGTGAGATATCATCCAGTCTCAAAATAGAGATTGAAAACAGAACAACTCACTGTTTCTGAGCAGGAGGTTGAGTCTATTTCTGGTAGGAATCCATCAACAGCCAGCGTATGCTGAACACATTCGCATTTGACCGTTTAATCAAGGCAGGTTGTGTCTGAAGTCTGCGCTGGAATATAACATGTGAATCTGCTGTGTTGAAAAGCCATGATGTGATGTGAAAAGCACTTGAATGTTGTTAGGCATGCTTCTGAACCTTGAAAACGAGTGTATTTTGGGTAAAGAACTAGACTGGTGAAAACAGCAGATGGCTGGGGTTTAAAATGTGGGCATTGCTTGTACTGTAAACAACAGGACCGGGCTGTTGCTAAACAGAAACAGACACATGAATCTGTTATAAAATAAAATAACTGATCTGTATTTATATTTTAAAAATGTCTTGATTTATGTTTAAAACACACAAAAAAAGGAAAAACTATTATATTAAACAATTTTGCATCTCAAGTTTAGACATAGCAAAAGTACTGATTAAGAAAACAATTTTTGCAGTCAAGTTCCTTGGAAAGGCTTGGGAAAAAAAAGAAAAACATGTTTCCCTTCATGTTTCCTTGTGGAACATGTAGTTGCAGGTAGAGACATTTACAGTGCAATCTGTGTAGTTCAGCCAGTCATCTAGAAGATATTTTATCTTTTGGGACGTGAGGATTTGTGACATTCCACAGAGAAGATAAATAGAAGATAAAGGGGAGTTCAACCTTTCTGCTCTTGATCTTAGGGTGATCTGGTTTGAAAAATGGCTAACGTTACATAAAACTGCTCTAGCTCTTTTTTTATTTAGCCTATTTATGGGCACAGTGGAAGTACAGATTGTCATGATCTGTTTTCAAGGATGCGTTTAAAGTCTTTGCTGAAAAGTATAGTCAGTTTTACTTTCAAGCAGTTTTACAGAAGCACTAACCAGAATGTACTGTAGTCATGTGTTTATTTAGAAAAAAAAAAGTTATTAATAAAGTAGCCTCTGAAGTCCATTCTAAAGCATCAAACCATGCAAGTTTGTGTGTTCTGTAAATAACTCTAAAGAGCTCAAAAGTTTTTTTACTATGCTAATTCGCAGGACAGCGTTCACTTGAACTTTGGTTCGCAAACATGAACTTTCACATGCGTATGAATGAAAACGGATGGAGTGTGAAGTCTATCGTGACTGCACCTTGAGACATCAGGAGGGAAGCTGGTAGCAGCCAGTGAAGCGTCCCTCTCTGTCTGGCTGGTTTAGCTGCCTGTAGGCATGGTTCAGAAACACTGATGAGCTGGGATGTGAAACTGGACGTGTTGCATTATGGTTGAATAAGAGGCAGGTTTTCGTGCTGAAATGCACCCAAAGTGGTGCAGCTGTTTGTTTGTGTGTATAAAATGTTTTTCATTGCAGGTGTGAGCGTGAAGGACCGCTACCGAGAGCTGCTGCAGGTGACCCAGCCACATACAGAAGACCACACGTTACTTTTTAATGACCTGCACTTCCTCATGGCTTCCCTGGGTAGCAAGGAGACCGCCACCACTCAGCGCCTGCTGGAGAGTCTCCAGGAACTAGCTAAGTGAGCCGCAAACATTACATAACCCACTCAAGAGATTACATTGCAGCCAGGTTCTGCTCACGGGTGGGAGTTTGAGAAGGTCGAGTTGTGGATGAATGTACCGTGTCTTCAGGCACCGTGTAAGATTTCTAAGAAATGTCCCTGCTCTGGGGAAGACTAGTGTTTTCAAGGCTGATGCGCTGCATGCATATTCATTCCAATTTGTCATAGCAGCCAAAACAAACGTCCAGGAAAGGTTGTACAGAATGAACACAGAGTGTATCGAAAGTATCACAGAGTACAAAAATACATTTCTTGTCAGCATGCTGTGTTTTATAAGATAGCATGATGGAGAAGAATCCTCTGGGAGCTGTATTTTCAGCACAGCATCTGTTCAAAGAAGGCAGTGTTTTCACAAAGTGCACAATGTTTTTCGTTACCCACTCTTTATCTGTAGGCTTTTGGCAACAATAAAAAAGACCAGACCATCTAAAATATATATATAAGGCAGTTATGTATTTTCATGTACTGCACAAATGTATGCTGTGAAAATTCAAAAACATTATAAATGTGTAAAATCTGCAAAATATTTAGTTCCTATTAAGTTGACACTATTTCTACTTCGTTACCCACTCTTTATCTGTAGGCTTTTGGCAACAATAAAAAAGACCAGACCATCTAAAATATATATATATATATATATATATATATAAGGCAGTTATGTATTTTCATGTACTGCACAAATGTATGCTGTGAAAATTCAAAACATTATAAATATGTGTAAAATCTGCAAAATATTTAGTTCCTATTAAGTTGACACTATTTCTACTCGGCATTAAGGTAATGTTGAGTAACAAACAAAACTATGGCTTAATATATCAATAGAATAAAATAATTTTGATTTCAATTAATTTGATAAAGCAGAATGAAACCGTATTAGGGGCTGTTCACACAGAATCATATTTTTCTATGTAAGCACACGGTAGACAGATGTGTTTGACCGTTGCGTTCATGTCTTGCATCTATTGCAGTGTCTCTTTTAAACTTAAAAAAAAAAAAACTCCTCTAGACCTTACTTTTTTTTGTTCCAGTATTCTGCGTCTCACATTTTTGCGATCCATTGTGAGATCCGTCTAGCACATATTTACATTGAAAAACAATGCAGCACAAAAACGCATTCTGTGTGAATGTCCCCTTAACCTGTATGTAATTACTAAATTATATAAAATTATAAATTGAAATATGAATAATAATAATAATGATAAATAATATTATATTGTTAATAATAATTATTGATTTATTTATAAATTAACACTATTTTAGCTTTGTCGTCAACCTTTTTGTGGACAGTTTGAAAACCTATGGTCTAAACAATTAATAAAGCTTCTAAACATTTGATATAAAACTATATAATTTTCTTGAATAAAATGTTTTGAATAAAAAGTCAGTTCACATTCATGCTGCGGTTAACATACATTGACTAGGGGCTCGCAAACTCCAAAAAAGTTGTATTTGTTGTACAAGGAATGATTAAATGATGACAGAAATGACCATTTGAACACTTTTCCTCCTTCAGAGACCCAGCGGAGAACCATCAGCTCCAGATAGCCGAGCGTGTGGGGCTGCCCATGTGTCAGGCTCTGCTGGAGTATGACCAGGGAAACTACAGCCAGGCCGTGGAGCTGCTCAAACCCATCAAAGACCGCTTTGTAGAGATAGGGGGCAGTGACGCACAGGTCTTTCACCACAGCACTACAGTACGAATAAGATAAGCAGTGTTTCCATTCTAAACAACCTCTTTATTTGTTCTTCTCCAGAGAGATGTTTTCAGTCAGCTCCTTATTCATGCTGCCATGAAGTCTGGAGACAAAGAACACCAACAATTTGCCAGGTAAACGTTGTGTTATACCCTTCTAAGTGAAAAATGCTTTTCAAAAAGCTCATTTGTTGTCTTTTGTGCTTTTATGCTGCACTTTAAAGAAAAAAATTTGAAAAGATAAGATCAAATCTTTAAGATAATAATATTAATAATAAATGATGTTATTTGACAAAACAGGTGTGTTCATATGTTCCACAAAGTTACAATAAAAAAAAAAAATTTTTTTTTACAGTTAACATTTTTTGTCTGATGAAATATATTAATGTATTTGTCAAACAGCTTCATTGAGACAAGTAAATAAATAAATAAAATTGTATTTATATTTAGTTTTATTATGTTGTAGATGTCACTGTGAAATATTTATTGATTTTCTATCTATCTATCTGTCTGTCTATATCGATCTATCTATCTATCTATTATTTTTATTGTTTTGAGTAAACTTCATGCATTTTTTGTTTGTTGTGGGTGGGAAAAATAAAAAATTGCATTTGATAGAGTTTGAATTTTATGTTATGGGAACGTTCCTTTAAACCTGGGTTTCTCAACTTGGTTTTGTCTTCTAGTCGCTATTAACTAATCTGTGTTAGTTAATATATAACTAACTAAATAACAAAAAAAACAATAACTTTTGTTAACTGAAGAGTATAATAGATCAAAAGCCATGGCCTTTTAAAAAAGAAAAATGGGTGAAAATTCTCTGCATTCTTTGAACTGGTTGTGAACAAAAGCACACAACAGAAGTGCAGTCATTTTCATGTAGAAATGAATAAAACTATGCCATACTAGGCCACAGGTTTCCCATTAAAGATGAATTGTCATGTCAGTTGATGTGTTAATTATAACCAAACTCTCTGTGGATGCCAGGTATTTCAGTGTAATTCAGATTCAAACATACATTTTCATGTTGCATTTCATTAGTATGCAGTGCTCATAAATCCAAACTCTTCCAAATCGCAAACTCCCACCTGTTCTACACAGGTTGTACACAAAAAGTGCATGTGAATATTTTTAAAATGCCTCATTCAGACAGAAATGTTCTCCTGCAGGGATTTTCTTGGACTCTTTCTGAGGAAGCAGGTGTTGTGTGGTTTTGTCCCTAGATGCATGCTGATCGAGAGAGACGCAGTGCGGCCAAACTCCCTGCTCACAGACCGTCTGATCCAGAGAGCCCACTCCTTACATGTTTAAATTCAGACCCCATTCCCTTCACGGTTAACCGCCTGTTCTCTGTTGGTTTAATTACGAGCTGCTTTCCTAACACATTTAACTAGACATCAGATCAGAGAGCCTGAGTACAGCCTAAGAGTTTGTGCTGAGCAAAGTCTTGTGTTTAATGGGTTCACTCCTCCAGCAGTGTTAAACTGTTAGTCTGGTCTCTTCCTCCTACATCGCAAGACATAAATGAAATTGAATGTCTTTGAAAATATTTTCATTTTGCATTACGTGTTAATCAAGTCCGAACAGTAGTCATGCAACAAATGACCGTGATTATTCAGTGCTGTATGCATTAAAAATAAACTTGCAACTATGCCTCCAGACTTTTGAATTTGTAATGAAGAAATAAACAAACGCACAAGCTTTACAGACAAACTTTTTTTTTATTATTAAATAGCAGAAAAAATGTAAACCAAAATGGCAAATAAATAAGACCTGGCTCCGAGGCATAGTGAAATGAAACCGATAGGAAATTGTGCTGGAAGTGTGAGAGCAGTCAGTGCAGAATGAAAGCATCACTCCCGAATGTGAGAGAGTTTGGCGGCACTGCAGGTGATTGTCTGCTGCTTCTACATGACAGATCTGATCTCTTTCTGGATCTCAGAAATGAGGATCTGAGACAGAACGATGCCTGCGTATTATTCAGTGCTGTATGCATTAAAAATAAACTTGCAACTATGCCTCCAGACTTTTGAATTTGTAATGAAGAAATAAACAAACGCACAAGCTTTACAGACAAACTTTTTTTTTTATTATTAAATAGCAGAAAAAATGTAAACCAAAATGGCAAATAAATAAGACCTGGCTCCGAGGCATAGTGAAATGAAACCGATAGGAAATTGTGCTGGAAGTGTGAGAGCAGTCAGTGCAGAATGAAAGCATCACTCCCGAATGTGAGAGAGTTTGGCGGCACTGCAGGTGATTGTCTGCTGCTTCTACATGACAGATCTGATCTCTTTCTGGATCTCAGAAATGAGGATCTGAGACAGAACGATGCCTGCGATCTGTAGATCAAACAGAAGAACTGTGTCAGGACAGCAGTGTGCATGGAGAGAGGATAGTAATTTCTGTTTCTGCCCAACACCCACTGAAAAATTCATGAATGGAAATGCAGTTCATTGCATTCAGTGATACGGGATACGAATACACAGCATTCATTTAAATAAGAACCTCAATCTTAAAAGATGATATATACATATATATATTGGAGGTGCATGGATTTGTTGAATTACTTTTGACTGTGTCTTGGGAATGTGTGTATAATTCAGGTTGTCTGTATCTATATCCTTAATTATATGAATTATTAAAAAGGTCACACACACAGAGAGATATATGCTTCACTGATTTATAATGAACAGACACGATATTGCCAGTGTCTGTCCACAAAAAGGTTGAAGACAAAGCTAAAATAAATAAATAAAGAAATCAATAATTATTATTATTAATATAATATTATTTATCATTATTAATTTCTTTCTTCTGATGAAACATGAAAGAACATATTTTGATGAATGTGGGTACTTGATGGTCCCCAGTGGCTATAGTGTTTTTCCTCCATACTGTGGGAGTCAATGGGACAGTTTGGTTCAATTGTGTAGTTACCCATATTTTTCCAAATATCTTCATGTTCAACAGAAGAAAGAAACTCATACAGGTTGTAAACAACTTCATGGTAAGTAAATGATGTCAGTTTTTTTGGGGGGGGTGGACTATCCATTAAATACTGATTGCTAAAGCAGTAATATTACGTTACTATTCAGTCCAATTTTTGTTTGTGCAGCAATGTTTAACAATCCTGCTATATTGACCAATCAGCATCTATGATCTGTCTGAGAAACTGAAATCACTCACAAGCTAAATGTTACCTGTGGTAAAGCAAGACCCAGCGTGAGTGCCCCAACTAACAGCAGGTGAGATTCAATCCATATTACAGCTCTGTCTGCACAGCCCACCGGATAGATAGATTTAGTGGTGTCCAGGTGGTTTTGTGTTTGAACCCCAAAACCACACATGGTGTTGATCACAGTCTGAAATAGTACAAGATGTTTTTAGTCTATATGCAGCAGGGGGCAGTAATGTTTTAGCCTCGTTCTAGTCATGCTTGCTTAATGTACCTCATTTTAAATCTATAGTATACAAATACAAACATGATTCATTATTAGGTGTGCTAAAACAAGCAGCACTATTAATACTATGCGTATTTTTGTCATATCTGGGGACCAGAATATCATCTGAGGGGATTTTGGGAGAATAAGCAAACACCTGCGCACATTAGCAGCCGTCCTGACAAGCACACATGTAAATGACTTAATATTGTAGAGATTCTTAGTGCTTTTGATTCTGTTGTTGATGATTATTCTCATCTGGCATGCACATTTTTAACACCTACCCATCCAACTAGATTTTCTGACTCGACTGCATCCTACGTTATCTAATGGGGGCCGGTCACTTCCCCTTAAGCTTTTTACAACTCTTTTACCACGCAACCTGAGGATGTTGAATTCCCTTTTGTTTAGTGGGCTGCAGATGTAGAATGCAGGTCAAGGTCACATCTCTAGACATATGCAGTTTTCAATTGAATGTTTGCACCAGGAATTTCCTTAATGTGTGGTTTAATCATTCATCACCCTTTTCTACAGAGATTTCACACAGCTTGCAGTATCCATGACTGATAGCTGACAAGAAACCTACACGTTTGCATCTGAAAGGGGATAAAATATCACTTTTAACAGCATTTATAAATATATTTTGTTGATGGTTAAACTAAAGGGGTTTGCTATGTGGTTGCTAGGTTCTGGTTGGTTAGCTGAACATGGACCAGCAAGTCTTTGATGTCCATGGCTCGAGTACTTTTGGCACTTTTTTTCACACTCAATCAGTCCACTGGTTGAAAATTGATTCTAATCTCTTAGAAAAGACTTCTTTAAACTTCTGAATTATGTTATGAACTTAAACGAGTTTAAAATATCAGCTAAGAGTCACTCCGCTATGAGCTATAGTAATACTAGTACAACCTTTGTAACTAGCACCACAAATTAAACTCATGTATGCTTTAGGTCTCCAATTTAAAATAAAATAATTAATTAATAAATTAATGTAATACTTTTATTCCGCAAGGATCAAAAGTGACAGTAACTATTATATAATGTTGTGTAAATTAAATGATATTCTTCTCCAACTTTCTATATATCCAAAAAAATCCTGAAAAGAAGTTTCATGTTTTCCACAAAATTATTTAGCAGCTCGACTGTTTACCATCGATAATAAGAAGACACGTTTTATGAGAAGCAGCATATTAGGATGATTTCTGAAGGATCAAGTGACACTGAAGACTGGAGTAATGATGCTGAAAATTCAGCTTTGCATCACAGGAATAAATCACATGTTCAATTATATTCTAATATAATTCATTTAAATTGTAATAATATTTCACAATATTACAGTTTTACTGTATTTTTTGATCAAGTAAATGCAGCTTTGGGGAGCATAAGAGATGTCTTTCAATAACAAATTACAAATCTTACTGACTCCAAACTTTTAAATGATATCCACAGGTGCTATTTTTAAGTAATTATGCAGAAATGATTATAATATAGATAATACAGTTACTGTACCAGGAACATTTGAGGGAATGCTTTAAATTTGAAGGGGTGAAACTGGGGAAATATAAAACAATATTGTAAAGTTAAATGTAATTATAATGATTTAGAGCTTCAGTCGCACCAAAGTTATTTCAACTCATAAAGCGCCATATGAATCCTCGCTTCACAGACAGACCTCATATCTGCTGCTATTTCTATGTCCATTTTGGATATTCATAACTGCAGATTAAAAATCAGGTGCTTGACTCTCACCTCTCCTGGTAGAGGAGTGCAGCATGAGAAGGGAACCGCACATCTCTCAGTGCTGGGGTTTGACGGGGTGCAGTTGAAGTAGAGGTTCCAGGACCAGTCGGTGTAGTTGTTCCAACCACAGCATTTGAACTGTAAGGAGAAGCGAATGGAGCGAAAGTATTTTTAGACACTGTGTGGTCTCTCAGACCACATATTCACTTTGTGTCTGCTGGACCCATAAGAATTTTCACTATGAGAAGGACAAAGAGGCAGGAGAACATACCATGCTGTATTGGAGAGTAGAACATTTTCTTATTTAGAGAGCCATGCATGTGTTCATATTACCATTACCAAACAAAAGGTAGGTATAGAATATAATGTATAGGTATAGATAGTGCACCAAACATGTCATATTGTATATATATATATATATATATATATATATATATTTCGGCCGCTCTGACCTGTTTAGAGCGTGTTTATCCAGCAATCTCCGTAGACATTTGCCAAGGGAACAGAGATCATAATATTTAGGTCTGCCAAGGAGTGGCTCTAAATCGGTGATCTATGTTCTGTTTGAGTATCTTATCAGCATTTCGACACGTCTCACGGATTGAATCGGAGCACACATTTAGCATTTGAGCCAAGCAGCTGCTTTGGACGTCATGCCAAAATGGCACCGCTCGGTCATCCGCAGACTTGAGAGGCAAGAAAGCAATTCAGAACCCATAAATTCTCCTCGAGTTGCTGCTGTGACAACGGTGTCGAAATTGAAACTTTGTATTACTGATACGTTTGGTAAACCCAATCTGTTTAACTTCACAAAGCTCTTACTGATGTGATTATAACTGGGCTAATTAGCGGCACAGGCCATCATCGTTAAAGATGAAGGCGTAGAAGAAGGGCAAAGGCTGACTCGACACTTTGAATCCGTCTTTCGTGGCACTTTGTTGCAGAGTGCAATAAACCGATGACCACATACAGTTTTGTTGAGCTGATGAGATGAAAAATAACACAACTTTGTCTTTGCACTAATGCTAGACTACAAAGACGGAGAACAAAAGGGGAGGGATTGTGTTCAAATAAAGGATCAAAATGAAGGATCACTGTATAACTGAACTCAAATTTGACATTTTCTGAAATTGTGAGTGGTGTTTGCCTGTGCAACGTTTGCTAGAGTGTTGTTTGGGGTTTGCAGTGGCTAAAGCATTCTGAGTGGTTGTTAGCGTGTTGCTATGTGGTTGCTAGGTTCTGGTTGGTTAGCTGAACATGGACCAGCAAGTCTTTGAGTCCATGGCTCGAGTACTTTTGGCACTTTTTTTCACACTCAATCAGTCCACTGGTTGAAAATTGATTCTAATCTCTTAGAAAAGACTTTAAACTTCTGAATTATGTCATGAACTTAAACGAGTTTAAAATATCAGCTAAGAGTCACTCCGCTATGAGCTATAGTAATACTAGTACAACTTTTGTAACTAGCACCACAAATTAAACTTATGTATGCTTTAGGTCTCCAATTTAAATTAATTAATTAATTAATGTAATACTTTTATTCCGCAAGGATCAAAAGTGACAGTAACTATTATATAATGTTGTGTAAATTAAATGATATTCTTCTCCAACTTTCTATATATCCAAAAAAATCCTGAAAAGAAGTTTCATGTTTTCCACAAAATTATTTAGCAGCTCGACTGTTTACCATTGATAATAAGAAGACACGTTTTATGAGAAGCAGCATATTAGGATGATTTCTGAAGGATCAAGTGACACTGAAGACTGGAGTAATGATGCTGAAAA